CGATTTTTAAGATTAAGCTTGTAGCTATCTTCATATGGTTAGAAAAAATGACTCTACGTTAGGCTTGATTAGCACTTTGACTGTTTACATCGGCGTTGAACATTCTTGTTTATGGCATTTGTAACAACCGTAAATGCCACTTAAGACAGTCCAATGAAGGTCCATGTTGAATTTCTCTCAAGAGCAACTCAATTGATCATCCCATGAAATCGACAAAAGCAAGATTCAATGCTTAATTGACCTTAAACTATATTGGTCATGGTCGATTTTGAACTCTGTCCAGTGAAACAGTGCGTCCGATACTGAACCAGTGCCGTTTCTTTAACAACAATACTGACGTCAGAATGGTCCCATGCTGTATGTCATTTATAATGCTGTAAATCATACCTCTCTCTAGTAACATTATGTACTGACATAGCCAAGCGAATGTAAGTGTATTATTTAAGGTATATGTAAATTAAATACATATTCCAATAGTAATAACAAATACCAGCAATAGTAAAATTTCATTTTGAAAAAGAAAGAAAGAAGAAATCTTCGGTTTTGAAAATCCTTAAAAAATATTGATGTTTCATTTTTTCAATGCAACTTTTTACAAATCTGTAATGTATATGAAATGGCCTGGTCTATTCTCTGTTATATGTCGAACTGCATTAATATTACAAGTCGTATTGTGGTTTCGTTTTAAATTTCTGTATTAATCTTACTTGTGATCAACAATGTCTGTAAAGATGGTTCAAATTAAAGGAAAGGAATCTTTGTGTTGTGTGTTAAAATCCTATCTTGGTGTATTCGAGACACACATGAGATCTCACGAGAGTGCGCTCTGGGGGGTCTGGCTTCAATTATAATACGACTGTTACGCCATGATAACATATGACACATGCCTTGACGCTTCCGTTAGAACAAAGGGGCACGATTAAAAATACAAACGACTGGCCATATCTTACAGTTCCGATAGTTTACTTATCAAATGGAATAAAAAAGGGGTATTATGGTTTGTAAATGAAGTTTAAAATGGAGTTTAATTTTTAAAAAAGATGAAACTTGTAATTAAGCTTTAGTAAGATGTTTCCTAAACAATACTGCTGTTCCATGAAGATAAGTCAGAGTTAAGGGTAACACGGTGATGAAAATTAACCGTTATGACCAATCTGTGGATCTTACACAAGGGGCGTGGTTCGCATACAAGGGCAAGATTGAATTAAGCAGGGAGTCGTAAATCGAGGACAAGAACTTATATTTACAATCTCCTACAAACTCGTCTGTTTTCTTTGGAATGGTTTTGGCTATTAGTCATCATATAGAGATACAGATGTACTGTTGCTTGGAATTAGGCATGATGTCAAACATGTGAAAATTAATACAACATGACTATGAATGAAAGTCATATTTTAGTAATCAAAGGTTACTACATACTGAATTATATAATGACAGAATTACTGCCAGTTCGGGTTGCTATGGTAACATCGACAATGATATTGAAATTTCATAAGATTAATGTATTCACACGTGATATCGATTTCACCATAAAAAGGTTAGTGATGGCCATCGTAACCAGCCAGTGCTTACCAGTGATGGCCGTCGTATTGGTAACCAGCCAGTGGTTACCAGTGATGGCCGTCGTATTGGTAACCAGTGATGGTCATAGTATTGGTAACCAGCCAGTGGTTACCAGTGATGGCCGTCGTATTGGTAACCAGTGATGGCCGTCGTATTGGTAACCAGTGATGGCCGTCGTATTGGTAACCAGCCAGTGGTTAACAGTGATGGCCGTCGTATTGGCAACCAGTGATAGCCGTCTTATTGGTAACCAGTGATGGCCGTCGTATTGGTAACCAGCAATGGCCATTGTATTGGTAACCAGTGATGGCCATGGTATTGGTAAACAGTGATGGCCATGGTATTGGTAAGCAGTGATGGCCATCGTATTGGTAACCAGTGATGGTCGTCGTATTGGTAACCAGTGATAACCAGTGATAGTCATCGTATCGGTAACCAATGATGGCCATTATATCGGTAACCAGTGATGGCCATCGTATCGGTAACCATTGATGGCCGTCGTATCGGTAAGCAGTGATGGCTATCGTATTGGTAACCAGTGATGGCCATTGTATCGGTAACTAGTGATAACCATCATATCGGTAACCAGTGATGGCCATTGTATCGGTAACCAGTGATGGCCGTCGTATTGGTAACCAGTGATGGCCATGGTATTGGTAACCAGTGATGACCATGGTATTGGTAAACAGTGATGGCCATCGTATTGGTAACCAGTGATGGCCGTCGTATTGGTAACCAGTGATGGCCATGGTATTGGTAACCAGTGATGACCATGGTATTGGTAAGCAGTGATGGCCATTGTATCGGTAACCACTGATGGTCGTCGTATTGGTAACCAGTGATGGCCATGGTATTGGTAACCAGTGATGACCATGGTATTGGTAAGCAGTGATGGCCATCGTATTGGTAACCAGTGATGGCCGTCGTATTGGTAACCAGTGATGGCCATGGTATTGGTAACCAGTGATGGCCGTCGTATTGGTAACCAGTGATGGCCATGGTATTGGTAACCAGTGATGACCATGGTATTGGTAACCAGTGATGACCATGGTATTGGTAACCAGTGATGGCCATGGTATTGGTAACCAGTGATGGCCGTCGTATTGGTAACCAGTGATGGCCATGGTATTGGTAACCAGTGATGACCATGGTATTGGTAAGCAGTGATGGCCATCGTATTGGTAACCAGTGATGGCCATGGTATTGGTAACCAGTGATGGCCATCGTATTGGTAACCAGTGATGACCATGGTATTGGTAAGCAGTGATGGCCATCGTATTGGTAACCAGTGATGGTCGTCGTATTGGTAACCAGTGATGGCCGTCGTATCGGTAACCAGAAGTCAACTGTTTTATATGGATATAGGTCACTAGATCGTCGGATAGGATTATTACAGTGTATAAGGTCAATGATTTGCTAATAAACGGCACACTATCACCTAATATGTAGTCCTTACAGATAGTATCTGTTAATTAGTAATTAGTAAACTAGATTATGTAAGGTCAGAGTTCACCTACATACATATACTGTATAAAGGTCTCTGAAAAAGCAATGACGTATTAAATTTAGTGATAACATATATAGATATACAGAATGTGTTTTGGTCGAATAACTGTGTCACTGAACCACAAACAGATCGTGCTACTTTTGCATGACCGATGGTAATCATGCGTTGAACAATTCTCGATGTTGAAAAGAATTGTTCGTGTCAAAGGCCGTCACTGTAAAAAGGAAATCAATAGGGAAAGGGGCTGGCACGTGTGCAGTAGAATCGGATATACGTGTCATACAAACATGATCGATTATGGTATACAACAGAGGAGATGCATATATATAATTACATTGTATCCGAACTCTGCCACGCGGAACATAATTTCAATACTTTAAATTAATTGTTAGAAGGCAAAAGTCCCTAGGTTCTCGAGTAAGCCATAGTTATATACCGTCTGGACACCGTGTCTTCCTGTAGAAATCGTACCGTAGGTTCTATCGCAGTGAAGTAGGAATACCATGTGTCGATGAAGCCACTTCGCATAGGTATTTACCAATCATAATTAACCAAAATTGATTATTTGGAAAGTTTTCCTACATACTGTAACAATAGAGACTGAGGCAGAAGGATCCCTATGGACTGGGGGCACCAAAGGAACACAGAACAATGTACCAGACAGTCTCATTGATCAGTAGGTCAAACCGACCATCATATGCAGATGGATCAGCATCAACAGCAGAAATGGCTCACTTATTTCTATCGATTTTGTTCAATCACGATATAACTTAACTAGTATAGCAAGCCATCACTGTCAACTTTGAGCTAATATTTCCTCTGTCAAATATAATATATGTATAATTAATTTTAGACATCAAGTGATCGTCAGACCATCTCCTCGTTATAAATGAAGTAGGATACTATGTTCTAAACGATGATGCTTTAAATCATCCAGATAGTTCACATCATTAACACGACACCTTCATACTGCTCATAAGTCAGGGGTTATGTATTTGGTATAAAGTAGGGTTTGCATGACCAACGTATCTAAATCTGGCTTATAACGAAACACGAAGATAGTGTTGTATTGCAGTTTATACACGAACGAGATGCGTCCTCATTCATCACCCCGACACACTACCCACAGCTGTGTACCCACTACCCACAGCTGTGTACCCACTCCCCCAGGGGCCGCGCCCAATGCATGTTTCTGGTGGTATATGTGTGCATGTTTTAACACGGTGAATCATATGTATGCACAGTCCAGACAGCCGGTTCGTATTAAATATATTACCATGGTGATATGGAACTCTAAATCACACGCTTCGTTTCAAGGATCTTTGGTAGATGTGAAATTGACTGTGGAAATGAAAAGTGACACATTGGCACATTTACAATTCAGAGCAACACGAACAGTATCAAATTATACCAGCTTCATTGTACACGTGGTGTTACCATTCACAACATACATTTGTATACGTATTCAAAGTATAAAACTGCTTTACTTCTGAATTAAGACCATTATTTCTGGATACGGTGTCAATGTTTACCAACCACAAAAGGTGACACTCTAATAAAAGTTTTTGTGTATCTACAGGATGATAAAACACGCAGACTATATACCTCAGCCAGGATCACATATACAGATGTAGACTTAATACAGGTACATCGTCCAAACATTATGGCCTATAGGTATATATGTAAATAGTTTAGATGACGTAAGCACTTGCTTGATCATGACCAAACCGTTTCATTGGCGTCAAAAATAATTTTGGATTATCTTTATAAAATACCTTTTATGTTAAGTCGTAAGGAATCGCAATAACGAAACACTTGGTTTCATATATCAATGGTATTTGATTGAATACGCTGTACAATGATATAATCGATATGATATTCAGTACGAAGGTGTCTATTCCAATCTAGTGTATCTTATACTAACACTTACCTGTGTTAATAGGTTTCGCACCTGTCCTGGTCCAGTATATCCGTACCCGATACACGTACACACGTAAATCCCTGATTCACATATTACTACACACACTTGTGACGGATGAGTGTGAAGTAACACGCTCCTGACACTATTGGCCTGTGCTGGATTAGCCCTGTGAGGCTGGCAGTACGGGGTAAGACTGGCAGTCCAGGGTAGTCCCAGTAGAACTCGGGTCTTAGTCTAACGCTGTCTTACATCAACAGCCTGCTGTGCGCTGTGTGGTTTGTTAATGAATTCTGCGTCAGTATATGATTCAATATTTGGCATAATTTATAATTACTATGGTCTGCTTCATTGTGTCGTTGATGAGAGGCTGGTGTTGCTATAGACGAGTAAACCCATCGATTGACGTACCGCAATGTGTACACCCAGTATCTCGTCCGAACCGACAGAGATATTAGAATAGATAGAGGCAATGTTTATAGCATTAACTCCGTCCCAATGTGTTTAGTGTAATGTATGTTGTATCCATCATCTGTCATTCCAGCTTCAGAACCACAAAAACATAACAAGTTGCCATGGAACCAGCTTCAAACCGGCCAATGACGCAATGTGTTAGAAAACGTACACGAGTTCGGTTTCACTATGCAAGTTATAGTCCATCTGGGGATCTATAAAGATGAACAACGGTACAGCAGAACTCTGATAGGAAAATATATAAATGAATGGTCATTAGACACGAGAAAAATGCATTCTCTTTGAGTTGGTAGAATAACGTTTGGTTATTTTTTGGAAATTACCCATGTAAATCCCTATCCCCCTCCATTTCCAATTGGGTCTCATTTTATATCGAAGAGTTTTTAGTACGGTAAAGGAGAACGGGTCTCATTTCATATCGAAGAGTGGTACGGTAAAGGAGAACGGGTCTCATTTCATATCAAAGAGTTTTTTAGTACGGTAAAGGAGAACGGGTCTCATTTCTTATCGAAGAGTGATACGGTACAGGGGAACGGGTCTCATTTCTTATCGAAGAATGGTACGGTAAAGGAGAACGGGTCTCATTTCTTATCGAAGAATGGTACGGTAAAGGAGAACGGGTCTCATTTCATATCGAAGAGTGGTACGGTACAGGAGAATGGGTCTCATTTCATATCGAAGAGTGTTTAGTACGGTAAAGGAGAACGGGTCTCATTTCTTATCGAAGAATGGTACGGTAAAGGAGAACGGGTCTCATTTCATATCGAAGAGTTCTTAGTACGGTAAAGGAGAACGGGTCTCATTTCTTATCGAAGAATGGTACGGTAAAGGAGAACGGGTCTCATTTCTTATCGAAGAATGGTACGGTAAAGGAGAACGGGTCTCATTTCTTATCGAAGAATGGTACGGTAAAGGAGAACGGGTCTCATTTCTTATCGAAGAATGGTACGGTAAAGGAGAACGGGTCTCATTTCATATCGAAGAATGGTACGGTAAAGGAGAACGGGTCTCATTTCTTATCGAAGAGTGGTACGGTACAGGGGAACGGGTCTCATTTCTTATCGAAGAATGGTACGGTAAAGGAGAACGGGTCTCATTTCATATCGAAGAATGGTACGGTAAAGGAGAACGGGTCGAAGAATGGTACGGTAAAGGAGAACGGGTCTCATTTCATATCGAAGAGTGGTACGGTAAAGGAGAACGGGTCTCATTTCATACCGAAAAGTGGTACGGTACAGGAGAACGGGTCTCATTTCATATCGAAGAGTGGTACGGTACAGGGGAACGGGTCTCATTTCATATCGAAGAGTGGTACGGTACAGGAGAATGGGTCTCATTTCATATCGAAGAGTGGTACGGCACAGGAGAATGGGTCTCATTTCATATCGAAGAGTGGTACGGTAGAGGAGAATGGGTCTCATTTCATATCGAAGAGTGGTACGGCACAGGAGAATGGGTCTCATTTCATATCGAAGAGTGGTACGGCACAGGAGAATGGGTCTCATTTCATATCGAAGAGGTTTTAGTACGGTAAAGGAGAACGGGTTTCATTTCTTATCGAAGAGTGGTACGGTACAGGAGAATGGGTCTCATTTCATATCGAAGAGTGGTACGGTAAAGGAGAACGGGTCTCATTTCATATCAAAGGGTGGTACGGTAGAGAAGAACGGGTCTCATTTCATATCGAAGAATGGTACGTTAAAGGAGAACGGATCTCATTTCATATCGAAGAGTGGTACGGTAAAGGAGAACGGGTCTCATTTCATATCGAAGAGTGGTACGGTACAGGGGAACGGGTCTCATTTCATATCGAAGAGTTTTTTAGTACGGTAAAGGAGAACGGGTCTCATTTCTTATCGAAGAGTGGTACGGTACAGGGGAACGGGTCTCATTTCTTATCGAAGAATGGTACGGTAAAGGAGAACGGGTCTCATTTCATATCGAAGAGTGGTACAGTACAGGGGAACGGGATACGGGTACAGGAGAACGGGTCTCATTTCATATCGAAGAATGGTACGGTAAAGGAGAACGGGTCTCATTTCATATCGAAGAGTGGTACGGTACAGGAGAACGGGTCTCATTTCTTATCGAAGAGTGGTACGGTACAGGAGAATGGGTCTCATTTCATATCGAAGAGTGGTACGGTACAGGGGAACGGGTCTCATTTCATATCGAAGAGTGGTACGGTAAAGGAGAACGGGTCTCATTTCTTATCGAAGAATGGTACGGTAAAGGAGAACGGGTCTCATTTCATATCGAAGAATGGTACGGTAAAGGAGAACGGGTCTCATTTCATATCGAAGAGTGGTACGGTAAAGGAGAACGGGTCTCATTTCATATCGAAGAGTGGTACGGTAAAGGAGAACGGGTCTCATTTCATATCGAAGAGTGGTACGGTAAAGGAGAACGGGTCTCATTTCATATCGAAGAGTGGTACGGTAAAGGAGAACGGGTCTCATTTCATATCGAAGAATGGTACGGTAAAGGAGAACGGGTCTCATTTCATACCGAAGAGTGGTACGGTAAAGGAGAACGGGTCTCATTTCATACCGAAGAGTGGTACGGTAGAGGAGAACGGGTCTCATTTCATATCGAATGGTGGTACGGTATAGGAGAACGGGTCTCATTTCATACCGAAGGGTGGTACGGTAAAGGAGAACGGGTCTCATTTCATATCGAAGGGTGGTACGGTAAAGGAGAACGGGTCTCATTTCATATCGAAGGGTGGTACGGTATAGGAGAACGGGTCTCATTTCATACCGAAGGGTGGTACGGTAGAGGAGAACGGGTCTCATTTCATACCGAAGGGTGGTAAGGTAGAGGAGAACGGGTCTCATTTCATATCGAAGGGTGGTACGGTAGAGGAGAACGGGTCTCATTTCATATGGAAGGGTGGTACGGTACAGGAGAACGGGTCTCATTTCATATCGAATGGTGGTACGGTATAGGAGAACGGGTCTCATTTCATACCGAAGGGTGGTACGGTAAAGGAGAACGGGTCTCATTTCATATCGAAGAGTGGTACGGTAAAGGAGAACGGGTCTCATTTCATATCGAAGAGTGGTACGGTAAAGGAGAATGGGTCTCATTTCATATCGAAGAGTGGTACGGTAGAGGAGAATGGGTCTCATTTCATATCGAAGAGTTATTAGTACGGTAAAGGAGAACGGGTCTCATTTCATATCGAATGGTGGTACGGTATAGGAGAACGGGTCTCATTTCATACCGAAGGGTGGTACGGTAAAGGAGAACGGGTCTCATTTCATATCGAAGAGTTATTAGTACGGTAAAGGAGAACGGGTCTCATTTCATATCGAAGAGTGGTACGGTAAAGGAGAACGGGTCTCATTTCATATCGAAGAACGGGTCTCATTTCATATCGAAGAATGGTACGGTAAAGGAGAACGGGTCTCATTTCATATCAAACGGTAGTAAGGTAGAGGAGAACGGGTCTCATTTCATATCGAAGAGTGGTAAGGTAGAGGAGAACGGATCTCATTTCATATCGAATGGTGGTACGGTAAAGGAGAACGGGTCTCATTTCATATGGAAGGGTGGTAAGGTACAGGAGAACGGGTCTCATTTCATATCAAAGGGTGGTAAGGTACAGGAGAACGGGTCTCATTTCATATCGAAGGGTGGTACGGTACAGGAGAATGGGTCTCATTTCATATTGAAGGGTGGTACGGTACAGGAGAACGGGTCTCATTTCATATCAAAGGGTGGTAAGGTACAGGAGAACGGGTCTCATTTCATACCGAAGAGTGGTAAGGTAGAGGAGAACGGGTCTCATTTCATATTGAAGAGTGGTACGGTACAGGAGAATGGGTCTCATTTCATATTGAAGGGTGGTACGGTAAAGGAGAACGGGCCTAATTTCATATCGAAGAGTTCTTAGTACGGTACAAGACGATAGGTGTGAATTTACATCTAAAAGCTCTTAATATGACACATTTGAATGGGTCTCAATTCAAATTAATGGAGCTCTTGTTTGGTACAGGAGAGCCGTCTCGTTCCACATTTCATACCGAAGAGACTATCAGGAAGGCGCAAGGGAAACGGTCGTGATATCGAAAAGCTCTTGGTATGATACAAAAGAACGGGTTCCATTTCAAACCGAACAACTCTCAGTGTGGACGAGAAGAATAAAAGCGAAAAGTTTTTTGTGAGGTAGGGGAGAATGCATGGTCTGATTTCAAAGTCAGAAATATTTTTTATACTGGAGTACGCGTTTACAGTCTTATTTCATTATTATCAGGCCTTTCATTGGAGTTCGCAATTAACAACTATTGAACACTTACAACCTTATAGTTTCTCCAGTACTCTTGTTTAATCATATTGTTGAGTGTTCGCTTATTCTGTCGACCCCTAACCTAGACTTGCTTTTTGCAGTATGAATTGTTAAGTCCACCTTCATGTGACCACAGATGCTGCGAGGAGAAACAAACACCTAGCAAACATTATGTTATTAAATGAGCTGTAAAATGATGAAGGGTGGTTCGAGTTTTTAACCTTACTACTTGTACCGAAGGTAACAACAATAGGTCTGCCTGAAATTACCTGTATGTGTATATTTCTCATTCTGCTGTAACGCCTAGATTTAGTTTATCATTTCGGTAGTGATAATCTTGGTTAACTTGGGTTGCAGATGTCTTTTACTTATATTTAAAGCGAAACTCTGTCTAAAGACAGTAATAGCCTATTTCACTGACGTGCTTCAAGAACCATTTGTTGCTCCTCGAAGGATTCCTGAAGCCGTTTAGGAATGTGGAGCTTACTCGGAATGTTTCCAACGTCCGACTTGAAGACGGTCCTTTAGACACACAGAGACCTTTTATTACTGTTGCAGCAATGCTAGAATGCTTGTTAGAACTGGTATAGAATTGTTTAAAGAGAGACAGGATGTAAAACGTTCTTTATTATTGTAGGGTGACATGAAGCTATTAATTAGAACTGACATTAACAATGACGTGTCAATGAATTAAACAATAGAATTCTCACGATTAAATCAACCGCCCCATTTGTGTAACCTGATCACTTATGTAACGAGTGTAAGAGCCAGTCTGTATAGGTATAGAGTAACAAGGAAACCCCTGAATCAAACGTCTAAAATTCTCTATGTACTGACCAATGGAAAGAACTGCACTTGAAGCACAGCGTGTGTGATTGTATTACACAGCGCGGCTGCCTTATCACAGAAACAGTACAATATACACGTATCACTGGGGAAATGTATATATATTTTCTATTTTTGTACCATAATTTTGGAATCATCTCAGTATTTACGTAATACAGTACTTCAATGTTAACTGGAGGTTATCATCACAGGACCTGCAACAATATTTTTGGGTGATGAGAGCTTGTCTGGTATACTATAATAACTAACAATGTTTCTGGGGAATTAGGTTAGGTATACCACAATTATGCTAGTAATAATGGTATATATAGTATACCATACAAGTCCTCATACCCCTCCCCCCTCCCCAGAAACGTTGTTACAGGCCCCTGTGATAGTATATCATACAGACCCTCATTCCCCAGAAACATTGTTACAGGCCCCTGTGATAGTATACCATACAGACCCTCATTCCCCAGAAACGTTGTTACAGGCCCCTGTGATAGTATATCATACAGACCCTCATTCTCCAGAAACACTGTTACAGGCCCCTGTGATAGTATATCATACAGACCCTCATTCCCCAGAAACACTGTTACAGGCCCCTGTGATAGTATACCATACAACCCCTCATCCCCCAGAAACATTGTTACAGGCCCCTGTGATAGTATACCATACAACCCCTCATCCCCCAGAAACATTGTTACAGGCCCCTGTGATAGTATACCATACAACCCCTCATCCCCCAGAAACACTGTTACAGGCCCCTGTGATAGTATACCATACAACCCCTCATCCCCCAGAAACATTGTTACAGGCCCTTTGTTTATTACTGTCATTCTCAAGACTAGGTTAATCAGTCGGAGATATCACAAGGGATTAAAATGAATCAGAAATGTTCGTCTTGTTATATCTCTAATGTCACTCTAAAGAAAGAAAACCATGTTTATGTGAAGTGACATACACCCTTAACTATAGGTTGTGTATAACATTGATCTTTAGGTATATCCTTTCCGATTTTACTCACAGTACAGCTAGAAATGGTTGTAATAGGACGAAAGAACCTTGTTACATGACTAATTGAATTGAAACTGAAGCCAACATTGGGACGCATTTGATACATACTTAGATCCTAGCCATGTCTTGTGGACTGCAATACAGAGAACCAGAAATAAACCGATTCCTTTACCCTCCATATCTGTTTCCCTTAAGTATCTCTCTTATAAGAGGTCAAACCTGTTGCATTAAAATGTCAAATGTAAAATTGATACTTCCTTGGTAACATAGTATCGTATCATTTCACGAGCTGCTTGCAAGCTAGTTAGTTTGAATATAGGTCTCTACAGAACTTTTGAATGAAAGCAAAGAAAAGACCATTTTCGTTGAGGAATTATTCCAATTAACGTTAATATTGAACTTTTATATGTCAAATATATGTTTTCCCTCGCAGGTACGACATTATTCCATTCACAAAGGAGTTCTTGTCATTATCTTACAACTTGAGAATCAGCTATTTATCAGCATACTCATGACCAGCATCAAATAGTAACAGCGAATACAGGGAATGCTTTGACCTGATAAACCTACGTGTAAATATGTACAACAATGAAACCAAGCAACATCTTTATCCAACAACCTTACTTGTAAAAATCTCCAACTACCCAATCAGGGAATGCCTTACCTGATGACCCTAATGTTTAAATTAACAAACAAAACCAAAGGAGTTATGTTTACATAAAAGAATTTATTAAGCAGATAACCTAAGTATACAAAATCAGTTAACATATCACAGATTGCGGGTGAAATTTTGATACAATTTTAATACTCCTCATATTGGCCTCAAAAGGTTATTCTGTTTTAGTGTATCTAAATGATACTATAGAGCATGTACTCTCAAAGACATCAGATTTTAACGTGAATCAACTATGTGTTGGTACCAGAGTTTAAGCAATAGAGTGTATACACAGTTTAAAGTTGGACGAAATGGTGAGCCTGTTCAGGTGTGTTATGCTGCAGTCTTTGTAGATTTGAGGTTGAACCCTCCACCTGTGAAGCGTGGACCTTCTGTCCGCTGTGGTTGTATAATTGGACCACCTGCCTGTGTTATAGCTCTTTCCCTCTCCCTGTGGGCAGAAAAAAATAACAAAATAAAGCTTAAACTTCATTTTACAATAATTGTGAAACAAGTTTGATTATGTTCACAATGAGTTCATATGATCTGACCCTGGCAAAAACGATTTCATTTACAACACATTTACATTAACTTTGAAGTGTACAACTTGGAAGATTGCATGTCATTTTGCATGTTCTATACGAATTCTGACTGACCTAGTACTTAGCAGGCAATATCTAAAACTGTATTGAGTGTTAACCACAACCAGTATTAAGCTTCTTTTAATATGTAAACCACAATTTCAGATCGGATGCTGTAAAAATCACAAAGACATTGACTTACTTTGTCTGTTGCTCTTTCTTTTTCTGCATGAAGTATTTTTTCTTCACTTCAACTAACTCTCTTGCTATTCTTTCAATTTCATATTTGTATTCATTCACCTGGGACTCATACATATTAAGTTCCGAAGACATTGACTGAAACAAAGTGAAGTAATACAATTATTTTACTAAGATAAAGAAAAAAAGAATCTTTAAGACTTGTAGAAGCTTTCTGATTAAAATTTTCCTTGGGATAGTAATGAAATAAGTATTTAAGTTTGATTTATTGTTTGAGGTGATGGCGTGCCCTACCTTCATCTGTTTGGTCTTTTCCTTGAGTGTCTGTTGATAGATCTGGAGTTGTTCAGCCACCTCTGGACCTGGCTGCCTGGCCAGAATGTGTTTCAATTCGAGGTAAAGTTTTTCCTTTTCCTGGATTAGAAGTTCCTTCTCCACCACCTCTTCTGTCTTGGAGATGAGACGTTTCTGCAGTGTGTGTATTTTTTGGATCATCTCATAGGTGCTTGGATCGCTGCCTTCTAACTTCCTCCACCTATGGATGTTCATAGGGTTCTCCAGCTCTTCCTCCAAGGCCTTACAGCGAGTCCGTTCTCGTAGCAGCTCTGTCTGGATATGGTGAACTTCTCGTCTAAGGGAAAAACACATCAGGCTTGTTACATAACAGTCAGCTGCATCACTGTTTAGAGCAATAATGCAAGTTCAAACATATTTTATAACAATTTCCAGTAACTCTTTGTTACATAAATGATATAAAGCCCTAAACTGTATGATAACAACATGTCAATCTATCTTACAGCACAAACAAATCCCATCCCTCACCTGAGGTCCTCAACATTGGCAACACTCTTGTTGAGGATAGCTTTCTCGCGACGGAGTTTCTTGATCTCCAGTTTCAGGACCCTGATGTCCTCAAGACGTTGATTATACTGAATCTCGCCCTTGTTCAGTGTTGACTGCTGAATTTTTATCTTTTCATACAGCAGAGCAAGCTCGTCATTTCGCCTGACCAACTGTGTCCCCAGGATGTCACGCTCACTGATCACCTACACAAATGAAAACTCATTGTAATACAAAAGTTCTGGTGATTAGATATCTATTTGTATATCGTTTTAGGTCCTTTTTCCCCACAACAGTTTGATATCTATTTACAATAAGTTAAGAAAAATTTTCCAAAAATATGTCTTTTTGTAATAATATACAATATACAGTATATATGATGTCTGTGAGCAATAACTCACTTGATCTAGCTCCTTCTTTTGCCTGACTCTCTCTGCATCAGCCTCAGCAATAATCTTGAGTAGTTTCCTCTCCTCAGCCTCCTGAGCATCAATATAGGCCTTGCTCTCCGCGGCCTGCTGCTTCATTTTGTTAAGGTCACCCTTGAGGGTGTCCTTCTCCTTCTCCACACGCTGGTGCTCCAAGTGTTCTTTGACAAGTGCTGCCTCCTTGGCTTGAATCTCTTCCTTCAGTTGATCAATTTGGTGGTTCATGATCTTCAGCTTTCTCTTCATCTCCGTAATCTCATCCTGAACACATATCATAATGACTATCAGTAATGTTAATAAGGCTTAGGGAATCAATGCCTTTGAGTTTAAAATTTGTATTTTTTCTACCATTTTTCTGTTCTTCATTTAACAAGCAATAAATTTCAGTTAATGCTAAGAGGTTCCATGCAAAAAATATCCATATATTTTAGAGAGAGAAAAGTTAACATAACAGATTGACAATTTACAAAAACACTAACAACTCTTTGCCCATTTCAACAACTTTAAAGATTAATATGCACTAATAAAAGAATAATATCGACATCTGTACCTGTGACTCAATCAGATTCTTGCTGTACAAGTTCCTGTCACTTCTCACAGCTTCATACAAGTTCTGCTGCTGTTTCAGTTTGGTTTCAGCCTCTGCAATCTTTTTCTTATAGTCAAAGATCTGCATCTCTCTAACCTTCACATCTTCCATGTGACCAAGCACCTGCAGGTAATACAGAGGCCATTATAGTGTTGTCCTTGGTTACAAGGATTTATATATAAATACAGGACAAAGTAATATTAAGGTCAATCAAACATATGAATTTACACACTTACTTGTCAAAACCATATCAAAACATATGTTATTTATCACTTTCTTCTTTATATGGTGTTCTTTGTATGTAAAGCCAGTCAAAGCAATTACATAGACTTGTTTCCTTAATATCATATAAAACTTTCCGAACAAGAAAAACTGAACTTTTAATACTGTCAGCATCTAACTAAAATAAATCTAAGTATTTATTATATTTTAAAACCTGAATTGCTGTTCATTCTTTAACTTGAGAAAAGAACCACCAGCCAACCTTTTGAGTGAGATCGCTGGCCTCATTGATATAGCGATCACGCTCCTTTTCCAGCTGATAGATAATTTTCCTCTGTTTCTGAGCCTCCTCCTTGTAGTTCTGAATGTCCTGTTCTAGGTTTTTCTTGGACTGTTCATGGAGCTTAACCAAGTGAAGCTGCTTCTGTGTGGAGCTGATAGCCTTTAACATGTTCTGAAGAGAGAAAAACATCACATCAGCATTTTGAAATTGGAAGAGTCAACGACCTTGCAACATGTCCCAAGGCATTGACTAAGTCATCACTTTGATTGAAATATTCTATAGAAATTTGAAAATGACAAAAATATGGATTGAGCACTGTATACGTAACACAATCTCCACTGACCTTGTTCAGGATATCCTTCTCTCTCACTAGGTCATCTATCTGTTTCTTGTCCAGCTCAGCCTGCTTCTTGGAAGCCTCCAGTTCTAATAAGTGATATCTCAATTTAGTAAAATTTAGATTTAAATCATATGCCTTATTATTAAAAACTTCCACTTTATCCACTTTGAGGGAAAAATTAGTTTGATCACCAAATGTAAGTAATAAACAATACTGAGACAGGTCAAAAATCTATACTCACCTCTTTCCAGCCCAATGATCTGACTTTTCAATGTCTCCTTCTGCTGTTCCACATCACCCTTCTGGTCCTCCACATTCCTCAGCTTACGTTGGATTGTCTCACGGATTTTGTTGAGGCGCTGGGTCTCTTGTTTTAGTTGGTTCACCTCATCCTCTTTTTGCTACAGATTGAAAAAAATGTGTCATTGATATTGTCTAACTTGCTAATTAGCCAGTACCATCATACAGTGGAACTCCTCCAAATCAACCATGCTTGGGGAGGGTTTGGTTTGCAGAAGTGGACAAAGCTCACCACTCCAAACGTGGATGTAATTGATATGGTACTGTTCAGTACATTACATGATTTAAACTTATTTTATCAGTACAATATAAATGGATCAGAGACAAGTTCTAGAAACTTAAGAACTCTTCGCCATAAATTGGTGAGAAAGAATCCCTGCCATGAAGACAGGAATTGTTCTTGAAATGTTCTGCTAATTAGCCAGTACCATAGTACAGTGGAACTATATTCTCACATGTTACATATGTACATTGCACAAGTAACGCCGGATTTCAGAAGTAATTTTCACTATATTTTTAAGACATGAAATTGGTGCGGTATTCAGAATTAAGAGGGGTCAATATTGGGCAGTTTTTAATTATTTCAGAATATCATTCTGAACATTGCCATTTCCTTTGGTTGAAGGTTTGGAGATGAATAAGTTTGGGGAAGTTTCATTGTACCATATTTATTCTGTATGATGCCTGTGCCCAGCACTGATATTACCTATACATCTATAGAATTATAAACTATTTCATTGTGCTGTAATAATCCCATCCCATGAAGTTTTTAATGTGTTGATAGCCAAATTGATACAACTAAATTACAAATTCAGTGTAGGACCAGGATGTTTTTACAAATCTAAAGTTATTGATTACCTTTAATTCTGAGACTCTGTTCTGATTTTCCGCTGTCAGCTGATCAGTGGTGATGAGTTGACCTTCATATTCACCTTGCAGTTTCTGGAACCTTGTGTTGAGGATGTCACAGTCCTTGAGTGCTCTCTCGTTCAGAATCTGAAACAGAAGAGAGAAAAGTTCAATAAAATTGTCTTGTAAAAGAAACAAAAATAAAATCACTTCAAACCACAAAATCAATAGTTCATTTCAATGTGTTGAGATGTTAAAAAAAGAAAAAATTAAGTAAGTTCTGTATGCATCCACCTTACCCTTTGTTCCTTAAGCTGCTGCTCAAGCTTGCCGATGTCTTCCTTGTAGCGTCCAATTTGTGTCTGCATGGTTTTAATCTCACCAGACTTGGAGTCCAAGTCAGCCTTGGCTTGCTTCAGCTCACGCTCTGTTTTGTCCTTCTTGCGTGACTCACGTTGAGCTTCATTGTTACGCACCTGGATGTCCTGGTTCAGCTGTAAAAGTAATCACAAAAGTCAGTGCAAAGTTCAGAAATAAAACCCAATCTAGAGTACTAAGAAAAAAAATAAATAAAGAAAAAAACATGAAAAATTGAAAGTTTGAATGATATAAATATTACATTCACGTATGAAACTAGCATTCTTTTAACCAATTGCACACATGTCAAAGGTATCAATATCATTTTACTTTCACTGGTTTTATAATACTTCGGTTCAATAAAATTCACCACTTGCTTAATGCCTTTCATATGTACATATTATTATGCATTTTCTATGATTTATTAATGTTTCTTCAGAAGACCTCTTTCCTACCTCTTGTATCTTCTCCTCACACTCAGCTCGGTCCTGTTCTAGCTTCTGTTGTTGAGCAGATGCTTGGGCAAGGTTTTCACGTAGTTTCACGATCTCATTAAGCTGTTCATCTCGCTCCTTTGTCAGATCCTCTTTAATCTTTAGCAACTCATTTACACTGTAAAAAAACAACTACTATAACAGCATTCAACATAATCAAGTTTACATCACAGTTATTGGTATCAAAAACTGTAAAAAAAAAAAAACCTGTGAGGAAGATATTTGTTTACTGAAGAAATCTGTCCTTAAAAACATCTTACCTTTCTGTCTAGCTTGTAACTAAAGTTTATATGTATTCTGGCTAAATTCACAGCATATAGGCAATACCAGTTATGTGTTTATGAAAAATGTTTAAATTTTTTTCAAAATTGATGCCAAAAAAGAAAAAGGATTAAATAAACCATTCAGGAGTAACACAGGTAGTATTTCTGTATAACAAGAAAGTTAAGTGGTACTTCTATTGTTCTGTTTATTTTGAGGTCACCATGATTGGAATTTGTGTCATTAATATAATATCTTTACCTGTGTTCTTGTCCCATAGTAAGCCCTGCTCCCTGTTCCACAAGTTTACTGAGGTTGGCAATTTCCATTTTCAGAGACTGAATTGTCTCCCTTGCCCTTGTTTCTTTCTCATGGGCAGCATCAACCATTTTCCATGCTTTCTCTATTTCCTGAGAATTTTATGATAAACACCATCTTTTATTATTTTGCATACATAATTAATTAAATGTATTGGACTTTATTACAGACGTCTTATTATAATCAAAGTAAGTTATATGAGTTTCTGAAATACAAAAAAAATCATTAAATTAGAATTATAGATTTACCTTTTTTAGTGAGGTTATGGTATTCTGGTCCTCTTGAGATAACTTCAGTGCTGTTGCAACTTTTGCCGAGTTGGCAACAATCTCTGCATTCAGTTCTCTGCATTTTTGCATGAGCCGTTTCTCACTCTCATGTGATTTCTTTAAAGCCTTGTGCAGCTTTTCATATTCAGACCTGAACTTTTCCAAACTTCGGTCACCAGTAAGTTGCTGGAGAACCTGTGTAAGGATAAATGTTTTGTTAATTCCAAATTAAAATCAACATCATTTTTTATAAAACTTAGGTGATCATGTTACTAATATTTCATTAAGTGATAATTCAGAGACTGGTTGTGAATCATATCCATCTCAGGAAATATAAACATGACAAACCAAAAACTGTCCTACATTAAAAAAAATCCACTGAGGGATCATGTGAGATTTACTTAAAATTTTGATGCCACCATTTGCAATTTTATTATCCACCCAACACTTCTTCATTTTTTTTTTAATCTATATAAATATTTCCATACTTTACAGGTCCTTGCAAAAATAGTGTCCAGCGGTGCAAATGGGCACTTCAAACACATGCTATAACATAACAGATTGTTTATTTTTTGTTTTTGTTTTCTTTTGATCAGTTTTAGCAATGTCAATTTGTTGGTTCTGCATATACATGTAGATGCATGTACAGAATCTTTGCTTGGCGAGTCCATGAAATCAAGTACAATAATATGCATAACAGTATTTTATCCATCATTCAACAATGTTAACAAATATGTACAATATATTTTGACTGTGAAACAATATACATTTTGTAAACACATAATGTAGTTCCAATATTTTGTGTTTGATTCAAAGAAATTTGATATTTTCATAAACGTAAGGAGTGTTATCTATGTTAGTGGTAGTGTTAGTAGCGTTCTACTTACTTCCTGAAAGTCCTTCTCCAATGACTCAAAAGCGCTATCATCTATTCCAGTTTTTTCCTTATCTTTCTTTTCCTAAAACACAATACCAAATCCACATTTAAACATGTTCATATCACGCAGACTAAGTTACGATAGTGGCGTCACCATTCTATCTCGCTTCTTTAAATAATCTAAAACCATTATATTGCCGTAAATTATATATTCTCAATGCATCACGTCTTCAGTTACCATCATTTTCTTACCCGTACGTACTGCACTGTACTGTACAAAGTCGAGTACTTTCTCTGTAGAAAAGCTGCAGGTCTAGTAATCAAATTATTATTGTAATGCTTGCAAATTACTAAAGTATGTCATTTCATTGAATAATAAGCATATATGCAGTACAACCGTCGTGTAGAAGTTGAAGTGTGGATTTTGTTAACTCACCTCAGACATCGTGCCTGTTTTATATCGAAGATCTCTGTTAAAGGTTTGTCTGTCTGTGTGTCATGTATACAATCGTTGTCATTGGAAACAGTAGTTCGGCACTGAATATTATATAGATATATATTTTTTTCTCTATTTTATACATATCAATTCCCGTATTAAGTGTCTATCAAAATAGTGAAATAGTTCTTTTTAATGACATATCCGATGTTTGTTTAATAATGATAATGATAATAATATAACAACAGAAAATATAACGTGTAAAATTACCTCCAATATAAAAAGAGTTCTCCTTTTTGCGGGAAATTTTGAAAATCGCCATGTGCTTGTTATATCAGGGACATCACTTCATACTAGTCTATCACTTTTGTAATAACAATATCGTCTCGACATCAGTTCATGGGGCTTAGATTAAATATTTCATTGGCAAAACAGTTTTTTTCTCATTTTTACATGTTAGGCACCCTTCCAGATAAAGCAACGGTAAAAAGCCCGTCAATCTAGAGACGTATATAACATGTTATAATGACTCTAATCAATCCATCCTTGGCAGAACATGGTGAGATGCAATTTAATTTATCTCTATTTCTACTCAAAATGTAACAAGTTAAATTTACCACATTACTCCTTCTATACATAGCCTAAAACATAATCCAGCCCCCATGCCCTTATAGTGAATCTTTCTTTCAAAGCATTAAATCTATTCTAGATAATCTTGTATTATCATAACACTTTCTACTTCAACGGAAATTATCGTGCCGAAACATCTTATAACCCTTCCAAATCAACATATTCACACAAATCATATGTAATTATAAAAGTCAGAATAGTGAACAGATGTATGCAGCCGGAATGGAGTGGATTATAAGAAAGCAATAGACATTTGTAAAGTGATCAAGTTACTTAGTCTGTATGATTGGAAAGGTTTCAAGAAGGGACAACACCAACAACAAAATAACACAAGTGTTAGTTATTATCACATATGGACCGAACTATCCACATAGTAAGGTGAATGGGACTTTAAACGGTGGCCGGCGTGTGAGGACTTTCCACTGTGGCATGCTAAGGATCCCTACGTGGCTTTTCGAAAAAGACAGTAAGCCTGATAACACCATCCAGGGGTTTCAGGATAGTGTTAGGCTACACAATTACTGTTTAAGGCATTTGACGGACCTCAAAATTACATAAATCTAGGCAGGCCCCCTAATTCTTCCTTTCAGCTTCTGGACATGTTTTAGCTGCTCGAGTTAGAATTATTATTAGATTATGGAACAGTCTTCTAAAACTAGTATAATCAAACGTTCACTGCTACAGACAGTTCCAGCCCTATAGGGGGATGCATGCTCCCCCTCACGTCGCCAGAACACAGACATTCGTCGGTGAAATGATATCGGGCCGGCCACGGGAGGAGTCGCGGAGACGGAAAAACAGTCAACTAACCAACCAACCAACATCTTCGGAAGCCAGCGTTTTGTTGTCGATTGTCAAGTGCATAAAATTGGCCAGCAGAGCTCGGCTGAACATATCATAATCTGCAGAAAATTCAAATAACACCGATTATGTAATTACATTCAAGGAGTGGTTACTTATGGTACTGTCGGGATGGCTTTCCACCAAGTTGAATGATAAGCGTGATGATTTCAATCTCTCTCTTATGAGAAGTTTCCATTTCCATTCTTCATCTCCAACCTAAGATGTTAGGGAGCCTGTTCCCAACATCATGATTTTCGTGCAAGCAATTAAGATATCAACAAACTCATGACACAGGCCGATATAAAAAAAATAACCGGGAATTTGTACAGTCGTCATAGTGATTCATTGAGAAATATTCTATTTCTTTGTACTATATAAACTGAGGGTGTTTGACGCTCGTTAATTTCTCTGTTGGTTCCGTTGTCGTATACCGTGTTTTCATTTGAGAACTTGACAATATTTACTTCGATTGGCAAGGTTTGGGTGTCGTCAATGAAGCAAAAACACGTTATATGTATTTATTGACATTTTTTGTTCAGAGGTTATTGAGCAGATTATACGATATTCTGAGACAGAAAACAGCATCCGCACCCGCCCCCATGACTTTTTTCGGCTGGACATGCACTTTATTTAAATTTGGATATGATGACCTAGAAGAACTCAAAACCACATCATACCATATCTGGTGGTGTACATAACTACGCATATTGGAGGTTGCGTGCACCAAAATTATAAAAACGATACGGAAGATATAGGAATTGCTGTGACAGAAACAAGGATGAATATTGATTCTACGGTGATATTAAGCGGCTTTGTTTATCATGGTGTTGTTTAAATTGACATAAAGTGCAAGTCAAGTCGAAAGCAGATATCAGAACATCGTGCAATCTGCTATGTGAATAACTACTAAACAGAAAACAAAAACAAAACAAAGAACAGTAAGATGCATTCCACTTATGGAAAAAGCAAATATTTAATCACCGATATGCAATGTTCATTAAAATCTTGCATTCTACATACATGAGATTAGTTTTTATGGCAACAGTAAGTAAAGAAAACGATATAGAAAACAAAAAACCTAATGATTACACACAATATAGGATACATATGGACACTATGTAAACACAGAGTATGAGAGTAAAGTGAATTATGTTTCAGCTATAAAACCGATAAATGGTTTATTCACATTGGAGTGGTCAAGCGAAAGTGACTCAGTTTACACAATGCAGTAGGAAGCGAGATAACTCCTATATAAGTCATAATAAGCTTTTCTATGACTCAGAATAGCTTCTAAAAGGTCACGAACTTATGAGGAAATGGTTGTAAATCCATGAAAAAGTGGTAACAGCATCATGTTTTGCTAGTTTTTAAATTTTAGAAGTAAAATGCAGAGAAAAGAAAGTCGATGGGTGACCGAAATATCGGTCCCAGAAGTGGAGAAGCGGCGAATACCGAGCAAACATTATGTAAGTTTTGTAGAGCGACTGTTGTTGACATTTCAATCAGTTCAATCATGCTTCAGGTAGACTATGAAGTATGTCATGAAACCGCCTGTTTCGGTCTAAATGTTCCCAACAGTAATCTGGAAAGACGATTGTTTTATTTCAGCGAATTCGGATAAGTAATTTTACGGAGTTGTGTCCAAATATTGATTATAAGAAAATATATAATTCATGGGTTTTTTTTTTACAGATCGTCAAAGTTGCTACCTTAAGCAAAATGATCTACACATGAAGTTTCCTGGCATCAAATGCAATCTTAACAGAGCGCACATATGTACACACTTTTAGGCTGTAACTGAAAAATTGAGAGAAAAAAAAATCAAATTTAACCTGAAATGTTACATGTTTATCCACACGATCTTGGATTTGTGATGAAAATGTTGATAATTTCTGTATCAGTGTTTGGATAGCACCTAGACATTAAGACATTCCCTTGTTAAGTGTAAGTTTCATGAGATCAAATGTTTCATTGTTCCACCAACATATGTAACTACTTCTCACCTATCATCTCAGGTGATCATAAATGCTGCCGAGAAGTTAAGGATAAACATGTAGTACTTGTCGCATACTTAGAAGTCCTACTTGAAAGTAATGGAGACATCTTAATGAGGTCACATGTTAAGTAGTAATATGAGCATTGAATTATCCTTTTGGTTTTGTCTTTCTTTGCTCATCTCCCAGTCTTAATTGAGATATCGCCAGCAACAAACACACCACTTTCATGATGTACGTGATCTATATTTATAGACACAATGACTCTGAATGCCCAATTTACCTGTCGTCATTAGTCAGGTGTTTTCAGGGCTACTAAGGTGAGGTACTGAAAAACGTGTCCTGTCAGGGAAAAACACCAAACCTCTTTGTAATAAAAAAAGGATCATACTGAAAATGGATTCATATAATAAATATGTGATATGAAAGGAAATTAACATAGATGGTGGTTGTGTATCAATTCAATAATATGTTGATTCACTAGTTGTTAATCCATTTACAATTAGTACAAACGATAGAGGTGCATTATTTCTATAAGACATATTGACGGCACAGTGTTTGTATCACAGATTTACATGGAACCATTTAGATATGCAGATATGTTTGGTTCTGACACACTCTCAGAATGAAAATTGCTGTCAGTTTTTATCAGTTCAAGAATTTAATGAATATTCCAATTGATTAATTACAGTTAAAAAAAAGGGATTGAAAACACTATTAGCCATATACACTTAGCATTGGGGTACAACAAAGTGATTCATTGGATTGTATCCACAACCAAAGGAAGCCCAAAGCTTAGAATTTCTGGGAAACCAGTAACTTGTTTGGATTAAATCTGAAGAAGGAAATAGATGTTATAGCACAGTACAAGCTACTTGTTCAGATTGTGTCTGGATGTATATTGTGGTCAGTGCAACCCGTGTCACCTATAGTAATCATAATGCTGACAAATACATGTATGTTGGTTATGTTCTGTTGTAATACGTCACCGGATCAGTAAGTAAATACACTCAAGTTTAATCAATATGCAATTACATATATATTTATCACTCTATTGTACATATGTATACACGATATACAGACATATACAGAAACAAAAACTGCAGAGTATGACATATATTTTGTAAATTCTGTCTTACAGTCAATTTTGATAGTGTCTTTTTTCGTCATCATCATCTTTTTTTCGTATTGTTACATGTATGTATATACCATCATTTAAGTTTAATCATTGTTCCTGCCACATATTAAGTATAATAAAGCAAAATGCTTTAAAACAGTGAACCTTCTAAAGGTAGTGTCCGACACTGGTTGGGGAGCTGATAGAAAAATTTATCAAAGACTTTATAGAACTCTTATTTGATCAAAATTAGACTACAGTTCCTTTGTGTATGAATCTGCTAGACTTTCATATCTCAAATTATTAGACACTGTTCATCACCAGAGTCTGAATCTAGTTTTCGGAGCTTTCAAGACCTCACCTACCGCAAGTCTCTTTATAGAGTCTAACGAACCATCACTACATAGACATCAAAATAAATTGGCTTTGCAGTACACAATTCATCTAAATCAAACCTTTCAAATCCTGCCTTTTCATTCATGGTTGATCCAAAATATCAAATGTTATTTCAAAACAAATCAAAGACCATTCCACCATTTGGTGGAATTTTTTTCACTTCATGAAATGGTTAAATCAAAACACTGATAGTTGCACCTTTTGTGTATCCTTCTCGAAATTGCAGTTGAAATATTAAACATTTCTACATTAATATACTGATGGTTCAAATGATAATGATAAGGTTGCCACAGCCATGGTTTCACAAGATGAAGTCTATGGATGCTGGCTACTGCACAACGCCTCAATGTTCTCAGTGGAAGCGTGAGCTGTCTACTTTGCCCTAGAACATATTCAAACCAAGTAATTAGAGCTGTTATCTATTCAGACTCTCATTCTGTACTACAAAGTCTTAGCGATAGAAATATTGATAATCTTTATTCATTCGTAAAGCATTAATACTATTGAATGAACTTACAACAAATTTTCATATTGTTTTTTGCTTGGTTCCTGGGCACATAGGAATACCAGGCAATGAAAAAGCTGATTGTGTTGCAAAGACAGCTTTATCGCTACCACCTGTTGTTTTTAAACTTCATTTTACTGATTTTAAACTATTTGTCAAAGAATTTTTAACAGCTAAGTGGCAGGAGGAATGAAATGAACTTACAAGTAACAAATTGCATTTCATAAAACCTATCATTGGTGAATGGTCTCCATGCTATAGAGACAACCACTGAGACAAAGTTTTCCTTGGCTGTCTTCGGATGGGCCATACTTACCTAACACATTCTCATATGCTAAAAGGTGAAGATAATCCTCGGTGCATAGCATGTGATGAACTGTTTACAGTTAAACATCTTTTATTGGAATGCATTTACTTCTGTCTACTTGAGAAAATTTAAAATGTAATTTTTCAAGTCTAAACACCCTGTTTGAAACTGTTCAGGTTTATAAAATTCTAGGTCATCTGAAAGATGTCGGTCTGTATTAGAGGATATAATTTACCATTTTGATCTTTTGTAAGATATAACTAAAAGAGATGTTTGGCATTTGTCTTTTACCTTTTAGTTCTTTTGTGCTATTTCCTTTTGAATTGCTGTGTCATTCACTGGTTGAATGCCCTAATGACTTTTTATGTGTTGACAGGCAGTTAAGAACATAATAATAATAAGTCTCAGTTACAGATCAAGTGTAAGTTTTAGTTTGATTAGCTTTTATACTAAAATTAACGGAGAAAATAACATCTAATCAACACAAAGTTTAACCATCGACAGGTGCATTGCTTATATGTCATTTTGTTTACATTTAAAATGAAGCAAATAATTTGCGAATTTATCTTAATTGCTTAAATGGGGTACGGTTTATAATAATTAATCCATCAGCAATGATGCCAACCTCAATCATTTACAGGTAATATATATCTGGTCACAGATAGATATCAATAGTGACAGAATATTCGTAGGGTGATCATGGGAAAAATACATTGCTATCACATTTGTATGTATTTATATTATTTTTTTTGTTATTTCATGATGTCTATGAACATTATTTTTACTATATTAGATCCAAAACCTGATTCTGAAATTTTTAGATACTGATCAAAAGTAGAGAAATATCTGCTGATTCTAGCATTTTTTTCAATTTAATTTGCAGGATCGTATGGCCACTATCAGATTGATTAAATGATATCAGGTGAGCTGGCAACACTGTGTCAGGTCTTGCTAGCATGGTGAAAAATCATTGCGATGACCATGTTCTTATTGCTCAAGGAATTTGAAGATTTCCTAGTGAGATCACAACAACAACCTGTCTTGAGTCTTAATTTTGTCATCTTGTTCACATTTCTCAAGATCTTGAAACCTGGACTTTTTCTGCCAGTTGTCATGGAAATCAAAATTATTTGGAGCAAGACTTAAAGCATTGAATCAATTAAAATTTGTAAACTCAAAATAGGTTGGGGAAGAAGTATTCTCAAATTCTGGTCAGGTACTCATACTAGATTAATGCTTTTAACAGTATGAAATTAATCTGATTTCCAAGATGCTATGATATGTCTAATGTCAACCTTAGAGAATTGAGTTAGGGAGGAAGGTGGGTGGGGGGATCAGCAGAGTTTAAGAAAAATCATTATTCACATATATGTTGGTGGGATGGGAGATTCAAACTGTCTTGGGAAGAATGATTATGAAGTTGCAAACACTTGATAGCAAGTCTCATGTATTCCAAATTAACAATTTTACCACTAGAGTAGAGGTTTCCGAAAATCTCACCTTCAAGAAGATGAAACATTCTAGTTAAGTCCTTATAATAGTCAGCTGTTGCTTTTTTTTTAGAGATCTGGTGTTCTATACTAAAGTTGATAGTAATAGAGTAGTCAGGACTAGGAAAGCAGGCATGATACCATCTAAAAATTGAATAATGTTAATTCAAATGAAGTCAAATGTGTTAAATGCGTGTGAAACAACTTTTTCTTAAGGATGTACTCCATTAACAGGTAGACTTCTTTGTTCTTATACACTTTGCTATGGATATATCAAGTTGTACTTACAAACTTAAAAAGGGTGTTTTTCATGAAGTTTTGAAGAAATTTCGTATGTGGTCTACTTTTATTGAGGACTTAGTTGACAGTGTAAGTCTTAGGTATAATTCAACTAAACATTGCATAAATTTTCACTTGGTGGAACACATTCGCAGATCTTTGAGACCAGAAAAACAACAAATATTTCAAGTTGTTTCATGATCTTAAAAAAACTGGCTATTTGGGTGAAAATTGAAAAAAATTACAGCGCACTAACCGCCTCCTTTGTTATCATGAAAAGTATCCTAAAACATTTTTCAATCCAAACATAAAGTCTTAAAAAATGTTGAATACTAGAAGATGGTCAAATAAAGGGTTAAGTAATTTTGGACCATATTCAATTTTTGGTTGCTATGTAGTTTAAAACTTGTTAAATCAAATAAAAACTGAATATTAAAACACATTACTTTTTTTCTTAATGATGAAGTACTGTACTTTGAATGAAAGACAAAAATTACTTGAAAATGAGTTGCCTCGAAAACAACTAAGAATGTCTTTGAAGAAAAAATTAAGAATAATATTAAAAAAATGAATAAGTTTATGTTACACATATATACCCTATATTGATATTTTGCTTTTAATCTACTTTCAAAAATCGATCTTTTAAAAATCATGATTAAAAATCATGACCAGAAAAAAAGTTTATTACTGCAATGTTTTTACTTCTCAGAGGAGTTCATCGTTAAAAAAAAACAAAAAACAAAAAGAATTATTAGATGTATCATTTACATGAATTGCACTTTATAGTAATTGCTGGTGTTAAAGACTACCAGTATCAAATTTTCTTACAGAGAATAATTAATATCTTTTATCTATGGCCACTTTGTTTAATCTAGCTATAGTTCACATTACTTTTAAAAACTTAAACTTCCAAAAAATCTAGTTTATAAATGGCATTGGTTGGTCACAGAAAGATAATACTCATCTTTGTCTGTTAGAATGATTGAATTGAGAGATATTGTAAATAATCGGTGATAGGTCCAGACTAATTAATCACACCTGAACTGATAACTTACCTGTGACCATCACATGTTACATAGTTTTGTGCTTACCTATCTGACAGGTATACATTATCATGGTAACCTGGTCAGACCACACCACCACAACTCTCTACCGGAGGTACAGCCGATTCTTTGACTTTCAGGTAAGTAAATTTATACATACAGAGTATGTATCTAGATGTTGATTAAATTTCTGCACTCTCATTGTTGATTTACACTGATAATTATATTCAGAACTGATCCTTTAACCTGATAAAATCTCAGTTTTGAAGTTTCCAGGTATCATCATCGTTGTAATTAATTCATATGGTTGTTAGACTGCCTTAGGGTCATCACATAGATTTTGTGACTGATTAATGTTTATTGAGGCTGTCCCCACATTCTTTCCTTTATAGACCAATATCAACATTAAATTTGTGTAACTTGATATACAAATTACTGGTTGGTGTATACAGGTTGGTTAAACTTTCCTGTTTATACTTAAAGTGCTTTCAACTTAAAGTTAAAAAGTTTGTTATTATTCCAATCAAATTGTTTAAGGTTGCAGAGATCAAATCTAAAATTTCTTTTGTCCAGAAAAAGTTAAAAAAACAATCATAATTTAATGTGCAGTACAAGTTGCTGCTAAAATACAAAATTTACATTTGTAGTCAGCTTCAAACTGGTGATCATACATATACCTGAAAGTTATTTGATATCATCATATGTACATGTAGATATATATTTAATGATACAATAAAGTACTGTTTCCAAGCTATCACGATCTTCTGTGACTTCTAATTAATGCATAGTTGTACATTTGTACATGATGTATAGGAAAGTTTTCTGCAAGATTCATCTTCATTTGATATGCTCCACTGAATTGAATATCATGAGATGTTATTGTTATAACTTCAGTATGGAATACATGTACTATTTCCTACCAAATCGTTCTCTAACAGGATTGCCTTTTAGGGCTGATCCATCCTAAAGCTTGCATGCAAAATATTTCAAGGACAATTGAAATTGTTGCACCATTAATTTTCATTTTTGGCAAATTAAAATGTAAATATTGAAATTTCCTGTCAAATATAGGCAAGCATACATTTCTGATTTAAGAAATTATTCTTTTGTCAAAGCGGTCAAATGGAGTAAGGGTGTAATTTTATTAAGTTCTAAGACAGGAAGGAAAAGAAGAACAATGTAGTTGGGAAATGGAAGTATGAAAATAAGCTTTTAATGGAAACCATAGTATATATGTAATAATCTATATTTTCCCTGTATTTTCTTAATCACTATTACAGAAGTTATCATGATAGTTTAGACTTTCATATAGAGCTGGATGACTGTGTTTTTGTATGATATACTTCATGTATACATAGATTGTTTTTATAGTAAACACATCGTTGTGTCTTTTCCATGTTGACCCAGTCCGTGAGGAAGTCCTGTGGTCTGCCTGTATAGCAATGTCATGTCCCCATCCCTAGTATATACACAGACCAATCACAAACTTTTTACTTTTATTTAACAGAATGAATTACTGGACAAATTTCCCTTGGAGGCAGGCTTGCTTGATCCTATGAAAAGGATTATACCTTTTTTACCAGGTGAGATATAATGATGTACCTCAGATTGGCTCACTTCTTATATCACATTAACAAGATAGTTTGGAGGACAAGAAAGTTATTTAACAATATATCATACCTAATGTAACTTTGTATTGTTATGGTATATATACACACAGGTATGTTACCATATTGTGTAGTATATACACAGTCACATCATTTGTATTTGAGGAAATGCTCTATAACCAATTATTTTTCTATCTCAGTGACTCAGTGGACATAGCAATCATAGTCCTGTATGTAGTGATGAGTTAGTGTTAGAGTATACATGTATGTGTTCAGAATGAGCTGGTACATGAAAATGATACGTAATTAAAAAAAAAAAGTTTTAAATGTACTGAATATTAACAGAATTTTTTTTCTGAAGTGATGTCAGAAGAAGTACATGTATGTTTTGATTTATCATGATGATGGCAGAATACATTTATATTACTGATTTGGAGGTCTGCAAAGGTCAATACTAGGTGTCATATTTGAGTCAAATGATAACTATAAATTGATACATTAGATAGCTGTACATGAGTGGTATATAACAACTTTACTTCTTCAGAAGTTGTATCCCGACCACCGATTGGTCACAGATAATGATTAATATATGTTCAGGTGTCATCTGAGCATCTGGGGTTCTATTCCACAAATGGATGTGAGAAGGTGTCGGGTCACCAGCACTGACTCACATCTGTTTTCTCACAGTAAGACCCTTCACACACTTCGATGTGGGCCAACAAGAACAGTTAGATATAAGCTTAAAACTTGTTTCACAAATGTTGTGAAATAATTAAAGTTTATATTTTAATGTATCTACTTGATGTACCTTGAACATTCAAACAGTTATTTGATGCTGCCCAAAAGTAGAAGTGGCCTTTAAATAGATGTCGGTCTAAAGATATTATACATGTAGCGGTCATCATACTGTGTAGAAAAGATCAGAATTCATACCTGGTAAACTATAGTCCACCTTCAGATTTGTATATCTTTAATACATTCAAATGACAGATCTGATCAATAGCCAAATATGTGTCATGGAAATGTCATTTAAGAAATGTATAAATATGTCTACATCTATACAATCTCCATCCATCCTCTGAAATGTTCACTACAAATATTGTTGGTCATCTTCATAAAAGGTCAAAGGTTGTATTTCTATAAAAATATATAATACATATATGTGGCAGATGTATTTCAACAAAAGCAGTGTCAGTTGCAGTATAAATTTAAATATTTCATTGGATCTTAGGTTTCATATGAGTTTTATGACTTTCTAATTTCTGTATTGAAGTAAGGGTCAGGTGAGTTAAAATGAAAAATCTGTGACATGTTTCATATATCACATATGAACTGGAAACAATTTTAAGATCAGTTTTATCATATGATCAAATACTTCAGAAAATGTCTTTATCTGTTTCTTTGGTTTTCAGTGTCATATTTAACTTCTAAAACTATAACTGATCATAGACAATCTGATTATATAGAGATTTATTACAAGAATATTTTCATTGAATAACACAACAGTCATGTGAGAAATAGTGTTATGTATCTTAAAGTGTCATTTGACACATGCAGTTAATGTGAACAATGACCTCAAAACCTTCTGTTTATGATGGTGACGTAGGAAGTGATTCATGAATTATGTAAGGAAGTTTAATCAAGTGTTTTTGTACTTTAAGTGATACTGTAAACATTCTATGTAATTACTCAACACAGGGAAGATATACTTTGGCAGAAGTCACATTCGAGATGTCGCCCTGAAGAGACTCAAGCCCATCAATGACTACTGCAAGGTACCAAAAATATTAGTTTGCATAGAACTCAGTAAGTTTGTGTATGTCTATAAAGAAAATTAGTTTGTATATGTATATAGACATCAGTCAGGTTGATTGTACATATAGATATCAGTCAGGTTGTATGTATATATACATCAGTCAGGTTGTATGTACATACAGACATCAGTCAGGTTGTATGTATATATAGATATCAGTCAGGTTGTATGTATATAGACATCAGTCAGGTTGTATGTATATATTGACATCAGTCAGGTTGTATGTATATATAGACATAAGTCAGGTTGTATGTATATATTGACATCAGTCAGGTTGTATGTATATATACATCAGTCAGGTTGTATGTATATATACATCAGTCAGGTTGTATGTACATATAGACATCAGTCAGGTTGTATGTATATATACATCAGTCAGGTTGTATGTACATATAGACATCAGTCAGGTTGTATGTATATATACATCAGTCAGGTTGTATGTACATATAGACATCAGTCAGGTTGTATGTATATATACATCAGTCAGGTTGTATGTACATATAGACATCAGTCAGGTTGTATGTATATATAGACATCAGTCAGGTTGTATGTATATAGACATCAGTCAGGTTGTATGTATATAGACATCAGTCAGGTTGTATGTACATATAGACATCAGTCAGGTTGTATGTATATATACATCAGTCAGGTTGTATGTACATATAGACATCAGTCAGGTTGTATGTATATATACATCAGTCAGGTTGTATGTACATATAGACATCAGTCAGGTTGTATGTATATATACATCAGTCAGGTTGTATGTATATAGACATCAGTCAGGTTGTATGTACATATAGACATCAGTCAGGTTGTATGTATATATACATCAGTCAGGTTGTATGTATATAGACATCAGTCAGGTTGTATGTATATATAGACATCAGTCAGATTGTATGTATATAGACATCAGTCAGGTTGTATGTACATATAGACATCAGTCAGGTTGTATGTATATATACATCAGTCAGGTTGTATGTACATACAGACATCAGTCAGGTTGTATGTATATATAGACATCAGTCAGGTTGTATGTATATAGACATCAGTCAGGTTGTATGTATATATTGACATCAGTCAGGTTGTATGTATATATAGACATAAGTCAGGTTGTATGTATATATTGACATCAGTCAGGTTGTATGTATATATAGACATCAGTCAGGTTGTATGTATATAGACATCAGTCAGGTTTTATGTATATATAGACATCAGTCAGGTTGTATGTATATATAGACATCAGTCAGGTTGTATGTATATATAGACATCAGTCAGGTTGTATGTATATATAGACATCAGTCAGGTTGTATGTATATAGACATCAGTCAGGTTGTATGTATATATAGACATCAGTCAGGTTGTATGTATATATAGACATCAGTCAGGTTGTATGTAACTATAGACATCAGTCAGGTTGTATGTATATAGACATCAGTCAGGTTGTATGTATATATATACATCAGTCAGGTTGTATGTATATATAGATATCAGTCAGGTTGTATGTACATATAGACATCAGTCAGGTTGTATGTACATATAGACTTCAGTCAGGTTGTATATACATATAGACATCAGTCAGGTTGTATGTACATATAGACATCAGTCAGGTTGTATGTATATATAGACATCAGTCAGGTTGTATGTATATAGACAACAGTCAGGTTGTATGTATATATAGACATCAGTCAGGTTGTATGTATATAGACAACAGTCAGGTTTTATGTATATATAGACATCAGTCAGGTTGTATGTATATATAGACATCAGTCAGATTGTATGTATATAGACATCAGTCAGGTTGTATGTACATATAGACATCAGTCAGGTTGTATGTATATATAGACATCAGTCAGATTGTATGTATATAGACATCAGTCAGGTTATGTACATATAGACGTCAGTCAGTAGACGTCAGTCAGGTTGTATGTATAAAGACATCAGTCAGGTTGTATGCATATATAGACATCAGTCAGGTTATATGTATATATAGACATCAGTCAGGTTGTATGTATATAGACATCAGTCAGGCTGTACATGTATTTAGGTGTGACAAAACAGTAGTTAAGGAAATATATCTTTAGGGCTGATGTTATAATAAATATATGTTTGAGTGTTCAATGGTACACCAGAATTACAATATGTATTTCCGTTTACAGTTAAACATGCTATCTGAGTCAATGACTTCCTGGTATTCATTTACATTAAAGTGTATGTGTGTAATGGACAGGAAGTTTGTCATTTAGTAAAATTTGTCAGTGATGACATTGTTTACCAGTGACTGAAATTTGATATTGATCTATTGTTATCATATAAAACACCATCTTAAACAATGATGAAGCATTTAGGTCTTAAATAGAATTTATTTGTCATTGAGTGTTAAATAGCTTTATTGTTACTAACTGGAAGTTTCCAACTACTAGAAAACTTCCAGTGTCAGGAATTAAAAAGAAATTTGATTATCGGTGAAATGTTTGTAAGACACTTCATCTGAATGCCACTGTTACTACAGTAGTGTCTCTGTGTTATTGTAGGCTCTAATCGCACTGCCAGAAAAAATCTCCCATTGTGAGGACGTTTTGGATTTCTTCGATGTGGGACCTGAGGATATAGCACCAGTAAATGAAAAACCCAAGTAGGTGTTAAATGGCTACTGATAAAGATTATTACAAACATTGGGGATATCTTTATCAAACAATTTAGCTACTGATATTTATTATTACAAACATTGGGGATATCTTTATCAAACAATTTAGCTACTGATATTTATTATTACAAACAAACATTGGGGATATCTTTATCAAACAATATAGCTACTGATATAGATTATTACAAACATTGGGGATATCTTTATCGAACAATATATGAATGCTTGGTAGATTTTTTTCTACATTATTGTGTCAATTTTATTTTTAACTCAGGATGAAGAAAAAGAATCAAAACATAGAGAAGATCTCCGGCCCAAAGCTTGCTGAGGAATATGTGGTGATCGGGGACTACACCAAGGAGGACAAATGGGACCTGAATCTCAAGGCTGGTATGGTAGTACAGGTCGTGGAGAAAAGTGAGAGTGGTAAGTCTGGTCAAGGCCGTTACTGGTCATTTAAATTATCAAAAGTTTAAGGCAATTAGAAGTTATCAAGGTATCAGATGTTATCAAAAGTCATCATGGTTATCAAGGTCACCAAATTTAGCAAGGTTATACCAACAGGTCATCACAGGTGTCTACCACCATGTTGTATACATGTACAGTCAAAGATATTATTTCATGATTTGTACCTATCTTGATGTCATAAATATAAATTTTTTAAGTTTTTAGTGCTTATATGTCAGTGATAACATGGACATTCAATATTGGGAAGGAAAGCATCTTACAATGTTGATGTTAGTAGGGAAAGTATTCAGTTTTTTTCAATCCTTCAAAGAACCTTTTTATTAAATCACCAAGACTGTGAATATCAGAGATGTATATTATTAATGTATCTGTGAAAACTATGGGATACCAAGTAAGTGGCCCATTGGGCTTGTTGTTTCGACAAACCCTGGAGTAATGCTGTTATATGTGATGATAGGTTGGTGGTTTGTCACCATAGAAGATCATCAAGGCTGGGTGCCAAGCACATACCTGAAGAGGAAGGATGGTCTGAAGGAAAACACTACCCAGAGGCTGTTGCCTGGAGAAGGTAAATTGAGTGGCTATATATATTAATAGTTAGATCTTACTTTACTGACATCAAAGCAGAATAACTATGTATGAACTGTATTTATCTGCACATAAACCCCATCTTCATTTTTACATTTTCATTGATTTTGCACTAGGAAAACTTTCAAGGGAGCATATAGTTGCTGCCTTGTCTGTCCGTCCATTCTTTTATGTTAGGAGCGTAACTTTGCCCAAAGTTGAGCAAGGATCATGAAACTTTGTGTATACATTGGTCATACTAAAGGGATGTGCAGTACACCAAATTCAGGGCCTATGTCCCCTCAGTTACAGAGTTACTACCCTTTGTTTAAAGTATCTTGACCAGAGCATGCATTTGCTTACACTTAAGGTAGGATAATGAAACTTGGTGTATATATTCGTCATACTATGAGAATGTGTGGTATATCAAATTCAGGGTCTGCAAATCTCTAATATGAAAATGTGGTGTCCAATAAAGTTGTTTTCTAGGAGCATTCACCAGTTTCACTGATACTTTTTTTTTTAAAGTAAGTTAAAAGTTGTTTGCAGATAAGCTCTCCACATACTTTGATACTTAACTTTCAAATGAGGGGAAGGACTTATTTGAGGAAAATACACAGTAGTGATAGTGGTGTGATATTGGTGATGACTATGGATCTGAGACATTGGCTATATCATTCAATAAGTAATACTTTTCGAGAAGTTTTTACTTAAACACCAAGCATTTAACTGCTGAAGATTAAATTTCATCAAACAGAACCATACCTGTCATGTTTTATTGTATACTTTTGTTTTAAACTCCAAGTATGTATTTTCATGAGTATGGCAAATTAAAGTAAGTTTAAAACAGCTTTAACACCACACTTATCTATATGTTTACTAAAAGGATACTACAGAACACACAGTAGAGTAATAGTGTATTTATAAACAGGATACTATAGAATATCAGTAGAATAATAGCATATTTATACACAGGATACTATAGAATATCAGTAGAATAATAGCATATTTATACACAGGATACTATAGAATATCAGTAGAATAATAGCATATTTATACACAGGATACTATAGAATATCAGTAGAATAATAGCATATTTATACACAGGATACTATAGAATATCAGTAGAATAATAGCATATTTATACACAGGATACTATTGAATATCAGTAGAATAATAGCATATTTATACACAGGATACTATAGAATATCAGTAGAATAATAGTATATTTATACACAGGATACTATAGAATATTCAGTAGAATAATAGCATATTTATACACAGGATACTATCTGACATGGAATAGAGCAGTAGCATATTTATAAACAGGATACTTTACAACATATAATAGATTAGCATATTCATATGTATGGATGGTATAATCATCCTATGCTAAGTCATTTTTATTTACTGCAAAAGTGTTATTTTTCAATTGTTGAAATTTGAGCTGTTTTCAAGACTTGAATGAAATAAATAAATGAATAATAAATTCATTCTTATTCTTCAAGGTTGTGGTAAAAGCTTGAACAAAAAAACATATTTTTAGTCTTTTGTTGCTGTTACAGAGGAGAAGTTCACAGTGACAGAAGCCTTCTATCCATCAAATGAAGATGAGATAGCCCTGGAGTTGGGTACTGTTGTTGATGTCTTAGAGAAGAACCTGGATGGTTGGTGGCTGGTCAGGTATGTTTACCTAAAATCTTTATCTTTAGATTGTTATTGTTAAGAAAATGGAAAAAGACAAGAATATCAGGTTAATGTCTCCTTTCAAGTATGAACTCAAAGGCTTTTAATATTTTTGAACTTATTTGTATATAGGAAACATCAAGGGTTTTTTATCCTTTTACATTTCCTGTCTTCCAAGCCTGTCCAGCACCTTGACATAAATCCACCGTAAGCTTTGGTAATTTATTATATGACTGTATATTTTTGTCCTATGTTAATGTAACATATACAGTGATATTTGTATTGTTTACATTGGACGATGTGTACATTTACAATTATACTACATTAGGTACCTGGGAAAAGAAGGCTGGGCACCTGCCACATACCTGATGAAAGCTGAAAAAGCCCACATACAACGCACAGCCCGTCAGTCTGGGGTACAAGTTGTTGGCACCCTGAGCGATATTAGTGACATCATGTCCCGAGGAGAGGAGGAACAGGCTGTTGGGGGAATGTCTGGAGCTGGGGGCAAGACAAGACCACTAGGAAGGAAGCTTAGAAAACAAAAGTCTGGAAGTCTTGAGAGAGGGGGATCCATCCGTCCTCCACCTCGACAAAACTCCATCAAAAATGTAAGTGGTTAGTTTTTCAAACCTCATACTGTAAAAGTCTTAACAGTTTAAATGATGTCTAAGTATTAGTATTATACTGTCAAACCTGTGTATAATGGTCATTCCAGGGAGAATGGCCTTTATAGCTAGGTGACTTTTATATAGAGGTTAAATGAGTTGTGTTACTATAGGACCTGAAACCTTTTATAGATAGATATTTATTATACACAGGCGACCTTTATAGGCAGGTGTTTGTGTTATACAGGTGGTGTTTAAGGCAGGTTTGACTTAATTTAATTTTCTTTTGTTGCATTGTACTTTGTTGATCATCAGGATGATATCAACCTATAAAGTGTCTGTTAAATCATGAGAGCCAGAGGAAAAAGTGCATCATGTTAGATTGGCCTTGTTTCTGTAAACATACTATGTATAATACAAGTAGCTGTTATATGGTGGATGGGCAGGTTGTGGTACATTATTTTATTTATTCATTAATTCAACAGGAAGGGTTATCTGATGATATAACTATACAATTCGGTAAGGGATGAGAACATGTTTAGAAATTTAAAATGTTGGGTGGAAAGTGATGTTTTTCTGTCCTTTTTAGCCCACCATCATCAGATGGTGGGGTATTCAAATCGCCCTGCGTCCGTGGTCCGTCCGTCCGTAAACAATTCTTGTTACCGCTATTGCTAGGAAAGTACTGGATGGATCTTTCTCAAATTTCATATGCAGTTTCCTCTGGTCCCTAGTTGTGCATTGTACCTTTTTTGGACTGATTTGAATTCAAGATGGCCGACAGGCAGCCATCTTTTATTTTGGAAGTAAAAGTTTGTTACCGCTATTTCTGGGAAAGTACTGGATGGATCTTTCTCAAATTTCATATACAGGTTCCCCTTGGTCCCTAGTTGTGCATTGTACCTTTTTTGGACTGATTCAAATTCAAGATGGCCGACAAGCAGCCATCTTGGAGTTTGAAAGTAAAATTTTGTTACCGCTATTTCTGGGAAAGTACTGGATGGATCTTTCTCAAATTTCATATACAGGTTCCCCTTGGTCCCTAGTTGTACATTGTACCTTTTTTTGACTGATTCAAATTCAAGAGCAGCCATTTTGGAGTTTGAAAGTAAAATTTTGTTACGGCTATTTCTGGGAAAGTACTGGATGGATCTTTCTCAAATTTAATATGCAGGTTCCCCTTGGTCCCTAGTTGTGCATTGTACCTTTTTTGATTGATCTGAAATCAAGATGGCTGACAGACAACCATCTTGGATTTTGAGAGTGAAATCTTGTTACCGCTAATTTTTAGGAAGTACTTGATGGATACTTCTGATATTTCATAGGTATTGGTTTCCCTTGGTCCCTAGTTGTGCATTGTACTTTTTTTGGACTGATTTGAAATCAAGTTGGCCCACAGGCAGCCATCTTGGATGTCGACAGTAATACAGCACAAGCATATTTTCTTCGATATTCTATCATATTGATTGAAGACCATGTCCATTATCCACCTGACTGCTATCTATTAATACTTTGGGATCTTTTTCAAATGATATTTGCTAATAGGTGCTTAATAAAAATACCTTGTGCCATCATTGAGTACATTCAATGAAGACCAGTTCACGAACATTTACAAAACCTGTAACACAAAAGAAAAATAAACAAATCTTCAAGAACTGAAAACAGATCCTCAAATGGTGGGCGCCAAGATCCCTCTGGGATCTCTTGTTTTTGGTTTGTCTTGTCCCGTTCTCTCCTATCACTTCCCTTCCAAATTAGTGTCATATTTTGATAACCTCTCAGCAGATTTGGTTCATTCTCACCAAATAGTGTCATACCATCAGTTTTTACACCTAATCAGATTATGGTTTGCAGAGGAGCAGGCACATGTGTATCGATATATCAATACATTTTGAAATTTGGTATATGGCTTTTTGTTGCAAGGGTACAGATTAAGTTCGATTCCTGGCTATCTGTGACCCTTTTTGGCAGAGTTATGCCCCTTTCAACTTAGAAAATTTCCTGGGAATATTGTTTTCTGGACATTTTTGGCTTATGCTTTGAGTTATCGAAATGAAATTTGGTATATGGCTTCTTGTTGCAAGGGTACAGATAAAGTTAGATTCCTGGCTGTCTGTGACCCTTCGTGGCTGAGTTATGCCCCTTTGAACTCAAAAAATTCTTTGGGAATATTGTTTTCCCGATATTACCCAATTATGCTTTGAGTTAACATAATGAAATGTTGTATATGGCTTCTTGGTGGAAGATTACAGATCGAGTTCAATTCTCAGCTCTCTGTGACTCTTCCTGACCCATTGAATTCAAATTTTTTGGGAATATTGTTTTCTGGAATTTTCTTGGTTATGCTTCGAGTTATGAAAATGTTCTTGGTCAAAAGTTACGCACCGAGTTTGCTTCTTGGCAGTCTGTAACCCTTCTTGGCAGTGATATGTCCCTTTGAACTTGGAAAATTTCTCAGGAATATTGCTTTGCACAGTTTTCCCTTTATGCTTCAAGTTATAGACATGAAATTTGGTATTACAACTTTATGGTTGATCGTTGCACATCCAGTTCAATTTCTGGGTGACCATGACACTTTATGCAGGCGACACATACAGTTCCGAGGAACTCTTGTTGATTAATGGTTGGACTTTTGGTGGTCTTGGGCAGTTAGTTCATAAAAAGTAACATTTTCTGTGTTTCAGATAAAATCAGAATTAAATTGGGTGGGTATTTGCTGAGTTGTTTGTGTTTATTGATTTTTAAGTATTTGATTCTACCAATGTCTTTTGCACTTCACCCTTCAGTTCAAAAGGAGTGTGTGTTAGAAATCAAAACCTTGAAATTTACCTTTGATAATACAGCATCAGGCCAACACTCAAGCAAGTATTGTTTCCAGTAAGCATGGTAGTTTTCTTGGTTTTATTAAACAAAACACAGCTGAAAAAAATTTAATTTTGCATGTGAAATAAAAAAAGTTTTTAAAAAAATGACTAACAGTTCCCATTTGTGATTTTTGTGATGTCAGACAATGGAAAATCATTTTACTTCAGACAGTGGAAAATCATTTTACTTCAGACAGTGGAAAATCATTTTACTTCAGACAGTGGAAAATCATTTTACTTCAGACAATGGAAAATCATTTTACTTCAGACAATGGAAAATCATTTTACTTCAGACAGTGGAAAATCATTTTACTTCAGACAGTGGAAAATCATTTTACTTCAGACAGTGGAAAATCATTTTACTTCAAACTGAAAATTGCTAGTGGTGTATGTGCAATGTTGTAAAAAAATAAATAAATAAATTGTGCACATCTATAACTTAATGTTACATTGTGAATTTAACAGAATTATATAGCATGGCCAGGGTACGAGTGTTGAATGTTTTAGGGGTTGTGTTGGGATTTCACACACTAATTTTACTATAGAATAACCCTTGAACATTTAAATGGAGAAAGAAACTAAAAAAAAAAAAATTCTGTGAGGTATTTAAGAATCTTTTTTGTTTGTTTGTTAGATCAATTGCCCCCATGAACCACCTGGGTCATTTTGAGGTGGGGTCTTGTAGTAGGTGTTGGTTGCCGCACTGAAGAACATATGGGAGGTCCATCCAAAGCTATTAGGATAAAGTGTCTTGCCCAAGGACACAACCATAATAGTTCAGATTGTATCATTTCTCAGATTCCTGACCAAAGTTTAAAAATCATGTTACATAATCATAAATAGCTGACAGCAAGATTCACAGCACTATAAATGCTTGATATTTTGTCTACATTCTCTAGAGGGGAAATATAAAAAAAAAACTGGCTCTTAAATAAGTTCAAAATTCACAATGCTAAAAGGTGACGGAGAATTTGAAATTTAAAAAGCTGTTGTTTGTATACGAGTGTGTGGTACATCAATATTGCTGCTGTGTGTTGCTCTTGTGGATGATTTTTTGTTTTTGTTTTTGTTTTTATTACTAACCGCTTTGTGACATAAAGTTTGGGTTGACTTGTGAATGATGTTAACATTTTGTGTTTCTAACCATTTTTGTGACATTAAGTTTGGGATGACTTGTGAATGATGTTAACATTTTGTGTTTCTTATCATTTTGTGACATATAGAATAGTATTTTACATACACTGTATGGCTTTGAAAAATGTTATATAAATGATTTAAAGTGTAGGGTTGTACGCTACAATTGTTAAGTCAGTTGTTAGGTATATTGTAGAGAACTATTAACTAGATGGAATATTGAATAGTTTACTGGGGATTACCAACAACTGAAAACTCTCTTACTGTAGACCTCATGAGACTAAATCTCCTTGACAATGTCTGAAGTTTGTTGGTTAAAAAAAGACAACAGTGAAGGAAGAGTCATGGAGCGGGAAAACTTATAGTCCAAGTTCAAACTTCCAATCATTGGAAGTGACCCTTGGACATAATTGTTGAACGTACAAATGAGCTATTTAAAAGTTAATTAATGTTCCTTAATTTAGAGCAATTTCTTGTCATAAAATTTTCATCTTTACAAACGCGTCCCTGAATTTAAGTGTAATAAAAGTGTCCTAAACTTTCCTCCTGAAACCCAAACAAGCTTTCTTATGGACATGAAGATTAAAATATCATTATTTCTATCAGTATGTTAGAGAAGAAAAGACAGCAAGTTGATAAAATGTTTATGGCAACTGCATGTATGCATGTATACGATTTTCTCGTTTCGAGGATTTAAGTTGTGTTCAGTGATGAAAGAGTAGGAAGTTAATTTCTCACATGTATGGAGGGAGGGAACTGTCTGACATTATCCAATATTGATCATACAACTACTATTGAATTTATTTATTGAAACGGAATAGGACAAAAATTATCATCATTACTCAGACATTGGCAAGATATTAAAAAACATTCATGTAATTGAAAAGCTTCATCAGGTTTATAAATATATAATGGTGTTACATACATCTATATTACAGCATTTAATGGATATAATTGTATTTAACAAGTATGAAATGATTTTGATTCAGATCCAGCTTGACGTCACTATAAAAGAGGCAAAATCCCAACGCTACATAACAATATCAGACTTCAGTGATACTGTGGGGGATGGCATCAGCTTCAAGAGAGGACAAGAAGTCTTGGTAAGGCATGCTATACTGTCACCTCACATTATTAAGTTTTCTACAGGTCTATTGTGTTCCAGCTTAGTCATTGCTCTGACCCCATTTTATTATCCATTAAATGATGAAATGGTTGAAAAATCTGTTGTAACAATTCGACAGCTGACTTATATTTTGTTTATTCACTGAATAGTTAACTTTTGTACTCTTTGTTTTGTGAAGGAAAAGATGATTTCAAAAGCTTACAAAATGCAGTTTTGAATCACTGTTTGTGTTAAATATAAATATCTGCTTAGGAAAGTACTGTTACCATGCATGGTTATCTTATTTTTAGCTCACCTGGCCTAAAGGGCCAAGTTAACTAATGCTGTGGTGTGACATCCCACGTCTGTCCCTCTAGCATCAATTTTTTCCTTTTAAACAACTTCTTCTCAATATACAAAAGACTAAGAATGATGGTATTTGGCTTGAAGTGTCCTTGGGTACCACTGGAAAGTAGGTGGAAACAACATAAATCATTAATGATGTATAAAATTCTTAATGATGATACACCCAATAACAAAATACAAAATATGTATGATTGGGCCTCATCTCCATGAATACATTTAATGAGGATATGCCTTTAGATCAGCCAGATCACTTGATCCTCCCCTCAGTCCAAAACTTAACTACTTCAATAGCTTTTTTCCATCCATGATGAATGAATTTATTAATTTTGCTTCTGATCTTCAAAATGTGCATTCTGTTTATCAGTTAGAAAAAAATTATTACTTCTAACTCAAATGTAAGCATGAAGACGACTAATTTTTTTTTTATTTTAGGAAATAGAGAAGTTAACATAATACTTTGTTAGTTGAGAAATAATAAAAGTGATTTAAATAATAACTTACTATTTAAGTGCCTCTCCTTCTTAATCATGTGGCTATGATTATGAAAATGTATTCCACTATTTTTTACAGTGTATATACTGAATTTTGTTACACCCTTATTGAAGATTTCTTTCATATCAATGATCATAATATACTTGATGTTCTACTGAATGGTTGTGAGAGGTTTGATGAAAACAACAAGTAATATTCTTTCCACAGTCTCAAATTACATTTTTAGCCCACCACCATCATCAGAGGGTGGGCTATTTCAAATTGCCTTATGTATGTGGTCCGTGTTCTGAGCTTATACATATGTAAGCTGTCCCTACATGGTTTGGAAAATTTCTAATGTAAATTTACTGGACTTTTGAATTCTTTGTCCAGACGAGTACTTTTAACCAGGCTACTAGTCCGACTTATGAGTACTTTTGAAAGTTTTTGCCGTGCCCGATGTATTAAACACACATTTGGCTGTGTGTTGTAGGTTTCTGAGAAGACAGATGGTGGATGGTGGTTTGGAGAAATAAACGGAACTGCAGGATGGATTCCCTCCTCTTACATACAAGAAATCTCAAACGTAATTATATTCTGACCTTTATCACCAATATTTTATATTTCCCCATTCCTTTAATATTTTGTAATTTTTTCCCATAACCCATTCAAATATTCCCATTTTGTCCATTCATAGATTGCAATCTTTAGGAGAAATTTAATTCCTTTTAGATAAGAATACTTAATACGAGTTGTCATGGAAATTTTACAAAAAATGTCTTTGTAGAATTTTACTGGATGCATCATAAGCCAGGTGGACGCCTAAATTTCATTTGTAAATTTAAAAAGTATGATTACTGATTACCATTGAGTTCAATTTTGCGTGAGATTTTACAAAAAAATGTTGATCAATTACAGGTCAGATATATCAGTATTGCAAATGCAATGACAATATCAAGATTTCTTAATTTTTCTCAATTTTTCCTTTAAATGATATACAGAAATTTACTTCCAGAAAAAGGTAATATTGAAAACATGGTGAAATTTTCCCAAAACAGAGCTAATTAGTGTATTTTTACTTAACATATTTTAAATTGATGGCCAGGAATGCCAGAAACTGCCACAAGGTAAAGAATTTAGGATTATTCTTGTAAATAAAGCATCTATATCTCTGTTGTTCAGTTTAAATGTTCATTGTTATGCTAACCAAAAAGATCTGTGTAGGATAGGGGATGGGACTATATTATCACTGCTATTAATAAGCTGTCCGTCTTTTTGTGTCAGGGCATAACATTGTTCACAGCAGTTAAGTAGGGATCATAAAACTTGTGTAAATGTGTATAAATTGGTCATACTGAGAGAATGATCAGTATACCAAACTCAGGGCCTGAACTTTTTTAAATACAGAATTATTTCCCTTTGTTAAAATTTTGTAGGCAATCAAGTTATGTTCAGAGAGCATTCATCAGATTCACTGATACTCTTGTGTTGTCAATTTTCCAGGATACGATTGATGAAGAAGACAGTGTTTATCATGAGGTTCCAGGGTCATCAGATGAAGGAGATAGTAAGTCTGATCCAGAAGATGATGAGTGGTATCAGGAAGTAGCTGATGCCAAAAAACCAGAACATGATGAAGATTATCTTGAACCAATGAATAAAGCAGACCCTGAACAAATACAATTAAAGAAACCACTTCCTGATCCAAGTAATACAAAAAGCCCAGTCAGACCAGTGCTTCCACTGCCCAAATCCTCCTCATCTCCTTCACAGCAGGACAATGATTCTGATGTCAAGGGATCTGTTTCACAGGCACTGAAGTCAAGATTTGAGAATGAGAAAACAGCAGTTCCTTCCAGGCCATTTACACCACCAAGAGACAACCGTGTGTCAAGTAACTATCAGAATCAAGAAGATGAAAGATCCTCGAACTTAGCGAATGTCCTCAAAGCTAGGTTTGAAAAACGACAAAGTGCTGCTAATGAAGAACAGAAAGGTACTCCAGACAATAATAATCCTTCAAATTCAGCCATTAAAAAACAACCACTTCTGCCACCAGTTAAACCCAAAGTGAAATCTGCTTCGTCACCAAAAGATGACAACGTACCAAAGCCTAACGGAAAACCACTTCCTTCAAAGACTCATCCACCCATTAAGCCCTTGAAACCAGCACTTCCACTGAAGGAACCAACTAAAACTGATAGCAGCTCAGATTTGAAAAGTGTTTTAGCTGCGAAATTTCAAGCTCGAAACAGTGGGGCAGTTCTTGCTGAAACAAGGAATTCCCCAGAACCTCCTCCTGTTGGAAGGAAACAAGCTGTTAAACAACAGGGAAATGATGAAAAAGATGATGGAAATGTTTCTACATCTGATTTGAAATCAAAGTTTGAAACAATGGGTATCAAGAAACCCACTCCAGCTACATCCAAACCAAAACCACAAATCCCTGTTCAAAGTGGCCCACAGTTTAGAAAGTCAAAGCCATTAGTTCCTGAGAAAAAGATTCTGCCAAAGACTGCAATGAAACCAAAACCTCCTGTGTCTACAAAACCTGTTCCAAACCCAACTTCTGTACCAGAAAAAAATAAAAGACAAGCAAACGTGAAATTTGTAGCTACTGCAGACTTTGAAGCAGAAAACGATGGTGAGATATCGTTTCGTGCTGGTGATTCTTTGAGTGTTAAACAACAGCTTGATACAGGTTGGTGGCTTGTAACCTTCAATGGAAATGAAGGCTGGGCACCTGCAACTTATCTTCAAGAATTATAGCAGCTGATGTCATTATTTCTCCGAGACAGATGAGTTGCCAGCTTTTAGTACAAATCATTTGGGTAGCAGTTTTCTAGTCATGTGAACTTTTTGCAGTTTTGGTCAAATGTTGGGGAAAGCTCTGCCCAGCTTCATCGGTGCTCAGTTTCTGTCAGTTGAAGGTAGGGTGTTAATGCTAATGAAAGTTAGGTTATATGTTAATTGTCACAACTAATCTATACACTATAAACACCACAATTAACTGCAAATCCAAGCTCATCATAAGTAATAGGCATGTTGTAGATACATATAATGTCAGTCATGGAGGTAATTCACAATACATGTGAACATGCTAGTGTGTTCCCACTACTCATTTCATTTTGTACTTGTAATGTATCATAAGGTATACCAGCCTGTCCCTCTCTCTTAAAACAATCATTGTGTTTCTATGTACAGGTGTTGCTGTAGGTGTATGATTTATACCTAAACTGAGCCAGTAAATGATAGTTGGTATACATTTCCATACTAATAAAAGGGCAGCGTCAGAGGTGTTTTGTGCAATAGCAAATCTGTTTTATGTGCATCATATTCGATAAATTAGTTCCTCACATAAAAATATAAGTGATTTTTGTTTGCAGAGATACATACAATTTTGATGAAACCAGGAGTGCTGGTCAAACCCGCTACTTATACTTATGGGTGTGAAAAATCCACTTCCTGGCATAATGCGTTAATATAGTCGGTGATCAATATTTTTCCTTTTTTGGATACTTCATTCGTTATATGATTAATTTCCGGGAGGCTTTTGATTCATATATCTTTCTACAGGGGAGATAACTCGTTAGACGACCAGAGTCTTTCTAAACCCAATACCATTGTCATTGCAATGTTATTGACTCCATGGTTTCATTTACAGTCATGTGTTGCATCCTTTTAATATTTATCTTTTGCTGGAAAAATTCTGGAAATACTCGTGGTTTGGTGGCTGCTCGGTGGATGTATATTACGGTACTTCCGGTTTTGTCATGGTTTTGATGAATATATGAATCACATCGCTAGTGTTCACATAAAAGGATTTACTGTACTTTTCACACATCAAAGCTTAATGCTAAGTTACAATATTTTGTAGTTCTTAAAACATTCTAAAAACATCCTATAAATATTGTTCTGATCTTTATACCATATTTGGAAGCCTATAGTATATCATTCTTCTCACAGACATGATGAAACCTTTATCAAGTCTTTGGTAAATTCAACTCAAAAGTTGATACAGGAATTCAGTGTAAGATGTTGTAGCCAGATATTTGTGTTGTTCGACAAAGTTGGTGAGATTTAAACACAACCAGCAGATGAATGATATATGTGAAATATAACTTGAGTTGTTGTAAAAGTAATTTTCTGTATAGGACCGTTCTTAATACTATTTCTGTATACTATTGTAGACAACTTAAGGTAAAACTTGACTTTCAATGTTTTGGGATCCTTTCCTTCAATATCACTTTGGTGCCTGTGTAAGTTTTTATTGCCGTAACAAACTGGTACTGATATTCTGGTTTTGATATTTAATGTTGATGTATTTACGCACAGCATCTTCATGTGTTACTATACATGGAAAGGATTTTGTTTGTGATGGAATTTTACTTTGCTAGTTTTAAGAAGATTATAAAATCAAGAAAAGAGATACTTTGAAAAAGTTATCAGAGAAAATCATGGTTTGCTTCATTACTTTCTTTGAAATTTTGTAGAACTGCAAAAATTTGAACCATGGAAAACAGTTACCTGTACATTATGTGGATTAGAAGAAAAAGTTAAAATGTTTTTATCTATAAAGGATAGACGAAATGTGTTTTGCGTTGGGAAATCTGTTTGTTAAGCTGAGGCGGGGGAAATCGTATACTGTATCGTTGTGTTTATTTGTTTGTTTGTTTGTTTGTTTGTTTAATGGTTAAAGTACAAGTACATAGCAACAACTTATCATTTCTGTTCAACAACTTATAAAGCATTCCGCAGGTTAATGGGATTACTAGGATCCAGGTTTTTGTAGAAATAGGTTTGTCCTTCCGACTCAAGTAATGCATGTATACTGAAATATTGTATACATAATGTGAATGGTGTAGTTGATACTTCGAGGGGAATGAGAGTTATGCCCCTTTAATTAAAATTGTCATCACAAGCATGTGTCTAATTGTCCACTACGACATGTAAAATGTGCCTTTAGTCTGCCCCAGAAGTACAGATGTGAAAGTGTCATTTGTCGTGTACTACAAATAAGGTTGACTGTTGTTGTAAGTCGGTGTACAAAGGATTAAATGTGCTGGCAACCGGCCTTCACAAACTGCTTCGTGATATATATGCAGACAGATATTATTTCGCGGATATGTCGCCATAAGTTCGTATTATTTTATTGCATTTTAACTTAGCGCATTATACAAAGTATAACTCAAGGCTACGTACAACTTATTGATGATGTAAAGATATATTTACATGTACATTCATTGTATAATTGTTTTGTACTCATTTTGCATTATTTTGAATACAATAGTTTGCTAGATTGTTACAAGGTTGCATTGTTTTACATAAAAAAGATAATGGTATTGTCACTTCTCCGCAATGTTGTATCGCTTGCTATTTCTGTACAGAGATCTTCACATTAAGTGGCCTTACCATTTGTATCAACTTGCTATTATACTCGATTTTACTTATGAAAATGTATGTTAGCATAAAACCACTTATGTAAAAATCTGGTCTTCAAAGATTTGTAGGTTGTCTGTGCAGGTCAAGGTGGTTACAGTGTGATCACGACATGGTACGGACTGGAACATTGATACTTTATGTAACTACTGGTACTCTCACTAGAATGTGTCCAGGTTATATCATTACAAGTATATTGGAACTGAAATATGTACAGGTAAAATTGCGGGAAATATCCAAAGGTGTATGATATGCAATACTTTTAATTAGGTCTAAAGTTATGTTTTTAATTGCTGTATTTTTAAAAAAAAAACGTATAATTAAACTGTTATATTACTGATGGATGTATTTTGCTTTGATTTAAGCTACTAACGCATAGTAAGTTAGCGTTTCATATGAACATCAATTTTATATATATGATCAATGAAATAATAATGACAGTACAGACAGGTGAATTATCGAATCGTCCAGTTTTCTAGGCTATCAAGACAAAAATAAGACCCAAAAATATCACATAAATCACATCACATACATAGAACATAAAACATTTACAAAGCTTCAAACTTAAATTGAGAACGGTAGTTTAATTTCATACTTGGTCCCGTCGGCTATCGCTCTACTGACAAAGCGGAACGAGAAGAGAAGTAACTGTAATATCAGAATGTGTAAATTTAGGTGTCTCGATAATCGCTTTGGCCGATGGACGCCGTAGGCCTTTTATAAGAGGCAAAACACCATCTTAAAGTGTTTGAAAGATGGTTATTCAAATATAAAAATGTTTTGTAGAAATCTCGGTAGGTTGTGTATGATATCCACTGAGCGTAGAGAAAACAAACCAATGTCACACTCCTAGTTTACCGATACATCTCGGTCCCACTCTAAATAAGGAAGTGTTGATTAAAACTAAGTTTTTTTTATGAAGATTTTAATGAATGTTTGTATAGTTAGAAGTATTTTTATGTAAATTCTTCCTGTCACTATCTAATATACAAAACGTAAAACAAAAGCAGAATTATCTCGCATTTTATGACAGTAAATACAGGTAGAGCAATATTGATATACTAACTTATTGTTCTAAAATAAGCAGACATCAAATGGTACAGTATCTGCGGACACACAATGGATAGATCCGGCGTGATAATCTGAGACACAGCGAACACACAGCGTCATACAGCAGAGGGGATATCTCCGACGGGTACGTCCCAGAGCGAATTTCTGAAAAATACAGGACATTTTGTTAAATAAGATAATAGACAAAGCGAAATGTAAATTATTTCATGTACATCTCATAAAAATCTAAGATTATTGCGTACGTTCAGAGATGTATCTAAATTCTAAACTATGAAATACTGTCACCCAGATTTCAAATGCCACAATTTGCCATCCACTAAAACTAAGTCAGACAGAAATAAAATCATCCGCCACGCCATTTATATTTGTATGTACAGCATTACACAGATAGTCAATATTGAAACCAAAAATATGTGACTCGACGACTGATTTGAGGATTTTGTGGGAGTTATGGTTCTTGGTACGCAAAATGAAATTTTGTCGGTACAATAATTTAAAGATATACTTTTGCAAGAGAAGCCATTGTGCTTATCAACATAACAAATTTATAATTTATGTAGTGTTGTATACCACCAATATCAACTTGATCATTTCAATCCTAAGGGTTAATAGCGAACATAAATTTGCGCACAGTTAAACAGTTGAGCAAAGATCATGGATCTATTTAATGTATTGGTCATACTTAGAGGATACACAACGTCATACAGGAGAGATATCTACGGCGAGTACGTCCCTGAGCGAATTTCTGAAAAATGCTGCTGTATTAATGACGTGTACCGCACCTAATTCATACATTATAGTGGTATAGAGTAAATTATGGGAAATTGTATGGTGATGTTTAAAAGCATACTTCTTAAATATGAATCCAGTAATTACTGATTTTTTGCTTGTCTTTGGCGTGTATTTTTTAATCAGGTAGATAAGGACCCGATGAGCTTTTCGGGCCATCAGGCCTCTTGTTTTGTACAGATTGATATGACATAGAACCAGAAGAATGATAATAAAGATACACTATGTATGTGTGTCATTTCTAAATAGCTTACATATGTGTACATTTGTTCTGTGTCAATTGTGCTGACAAATATGTTCTGAAAGATTATTCTCAACCAATAACAATAAGCCAGATACATCTCTTATGTCTGTTATGTCTTATGTCTTGTATCTTGTGTCTTATATCTGTTATGTCTTGTGTCTTATATCTGTTATGTCTTATATCTGTTATGTCTTATGTCTTGTATCTTGTGTCTTATATCTGTTATGTCTTGTGTCTTATATCTGTTATGTCTTATATCTCTTATGTCTTATGTCTGTTATGTCTTGTGTCTTGTGTCTTATATATATTATGTCTTGTATCTTGTGTCTGTTATGTTTTATGTCTGTTATGTCTTATATCTGTTATGTCTTATGTCTTGTATCTTGTGTCTTATATATGTTATGTCTTATGTCTTGTATCTTGTGTCTTATATCTGTTATGTCTTTTATCTCTTATGTCTTATATCTCTTATGTCTTGTGTCTTATGTCTCTTATGTTTTATGTCTGGTGTCTTATGTCTCTTATGTTTAATATCTGTTATGTCTTGTGTCTTCTGTCTCTTATGTTTTATGTCTGTTATGTTTTATGTCTTGTGTTTTATGTCTCATATGTTTTATGTCTGTTAGGTATTGTGGCTCTTGTGTCTTATATCTCGTAAGACTTATGTCTGTTATGTCTTGAGTCTCTTGCGTTTTATGTCTTTTGAGTCTCTTGTGTCTTATATCTCTTATGCCTTCTTTCTATTATGTCTTATGTCTCTTGTATCATATGTCTCTTATCTTGATATTAATGTTTTAAATCAGGTTGACAAAGATAGGTCTTGGTGTACAGAATACTGATGACACTTTTGCAGTGTGAGACCTAGAGATCCAACAATATGTAAAGAAGCTTTAATGAGTTTTCAGTTCATATGGAATTTTATGAAAAAGAGTCTTAGTAGTTTTTTGCGAAGCTGTGACTCTCTGTTCCAAAGGAAACATACGTTGCTTAGTGGTGGGAGAACAAAAGAAGAAAGTCAATTGTTTCTTGCTGGCGAATTTTAATTTACAACAAAAGTTCTCTCACACAATTAACCTGACCTTCCTAACCTAAATGTACTTCCGTGATGGTATAGTAGTCTGTGGGTTCCTAAGCGTATAAAAACTCCAAAGGCCTAGTGACAATGGTCTAGTGTGGGTTCCTAAGCGTATAAAAACTCTAAAGGCCTAGTGACAATGGTCTAGTGTGTCTGTACGGAGTCAAGTGACCGAAGTGAACGGCGGTCTCACTGGCTCCTATTTATCCCCAAGGCTTACGTGATTGCAAAATTTGATCGATAACACGAATTGATCAAAGCTGTTAAATTATTTCCAATTTTGAATTTGATTCCAGACAATCTGGAGTCAATAGGGTCTAATCAAAATACAAAGCCTACGATTTGGCCATACTTATTGACAGATATCTTATTTCAAGCTATCCATGTAAACAAAATACATTGTCACATAAATAGTTTCCAACACAATCTGCTTTGGGTAATGTGCAATTAACCGCACCTGCTACATTTAACAATGAAAGCTGCATCATAGGTATTACGTTGTTCAATAACGTTTTAACCAACGTGGCAACATACATTTGTTACATGGCAATACGGTTAATGTGTAACATCTAATAAACACAATCAACTTGTTTTATATTTACAACATAAAACATATTTATAATAAACAATTATATACTTATTTAATTACACTTATTATAATCGAACCTATATACATCATAGATATCATCTCCCTTTCAGGGGCCGATAACCGTGTGAAGTGAATACTTTTAATCATACAGCTGAGAAATGATTTTAAAGTAGAGGACAACATCAGACGGAAGCCGCGATTTTTTTGGATTCCATGACGTATGTTTTTTGTTTTGTCCACATTATTATGACACCACAATTGATTTTGTGACTGGCGCGGCCAATAAAGTATATTACACTCATGACGTATACACAGACATGTTACATTTTGCACAGTGACGAATTTATTGGATTATGTCTTGACTAATGTATTTGTGAGAAAAAAAAAAGAAATAGCTGCAAAAGAATCCATTAAAAGAGAATTTGATAGACAAAAGATGGGGGAGCTCATTAATCTGAAGTGAAACAGAAAGGAATTTTAGACAATTAACTTCCGCCATCAGTGAAAGTAACCACATTTTCAACTTAAACCTGAAAACTGACGATATTGGTGAAATAGTCCCAGATCAATATATAGCACTGAAGGGTCACCGTGGTCTCAAACTGTACATACAATTATGTTAATGTTTAATGACTAATATTTGTCATACAGCCTGCACGAGAAGTGGGAGACCTGACTGATTGGTATTAACAATTTAAGTTTGTCAGACACTATCTCATTTTTTTTTGTTTATTCAAATCCGTTTTAAATGCATGGCAATGATCGATATTACGATTTTCTTTGCACAATGTATAAAGTAGATTACAAATCAGTCAAAACAAGAACAAAGAACAAAAGTCGTTAATTGCCCGATTTTTCCATACATGTCAGCATATAGTCTCGTTGTAATATATATTTCTAGCATGATGGAGAAAAAAGGTAGAAAAGTCCGGTAGGGCAGAGATATACTTGTCCTCGGAGGAGATTCCAGACAGTATAACCCTCAGTTAGACCGTCATGGATCTGTGCTCGGAGATTTCAGACAGTCTAACCCTCGGTTAGACAGTCGTGGATCTGTGCTAGGAGGAGAATTCAGACAGTCTAACCCTCGGTTAGACAGTCGTGGATCTGTGCTAGGAAGATATTTCAGACAGTCTAACCCTCGGTTAGACAGTCGTGGATCTGTGCTCGGAGGAGATTCGACACAGTCTAGCCCTCGGTTAGACAGTCGTGAATCTCTGGTCGGAGGAGATTCCAGACAGTCTAACCCTCGTATAGATAGTCGTGGATTTGTTCTCGGAGAAGATTCCAGACAGTCTTACCCTCGGTTAGACAGTCGTAAATCTCCTCCTCGGTTATAGATTTCTCTGTACTATCCTCAATTTAGAGAAAGATCCTAGTGATCTCAGTCCTCGAGAAAAGAATATTAAGTTAGCAATCACTGAGAAAGCTTCATATCTTTGCGAAATGACGAGTTATGAGTTTGTATGTCTTTGATACAACCCTTTGAGGGGCAGGATATACATGTATTTGGAACTATTTTGAAATTTTCCATTTTTGTTTTTAATTGAAAACAAAATGGATTAATGCACT